GCGCATTATTCAGACACTAGATGGCGCCAAACAATAAAAAACACAAACAGCTGATGGAGTATACACTAACCTGCGCATTATTCAGACACTAGATGGAGACAAACAGTCAAAAACACAAACAGCTGATGGAGTATACACTAACCTGCACATTATTCAGACACTAGATGGAGAAAAACAGTCAAAAACACAAACAGCTGATGGAGTATACACTAACCTGCGCACTATTCAGACACTAGATGGAGCCAAACAGTCAAAAACACAAACAGCTGATGGAGTATACACTAACCTGCGCATTATTCAGACACTAGATGGAGACAAACAGTCAAAAACACAAACAGCTGATGGAGTATACACTAACCTGCGCCTTATTCAGACACTAGATGGAGACAAACAGTCAAAAACACAAACAGCTGATGGAGCATACACTAACCTGCGCACTATTCAGACACTAGATGGAGACAAACAGTCAAAAACACAAACAGCTGATGGAGTATACACTAACCTGCGCATTATTCAGACACTAGATGGTGCCAAACAGTCAAAAACACAAACAGCTGATGGAGCATACACTAACCTGCGCACTATTCAGACACTAGATGGAGACAAACAGTCAAAAACACAAACAGCTGATGGAGTATACACTAACCTGCGCATTATTCAGACACTAGATGGAGACAAACAGTCAAAAACACAAACAGCTGATGGAGTATACACTAACCTGCGCATTATTCAGACACTAGATGGAGACAAACAGTCAAAAACACAAACAGCTGATGGAGTATACACTAACCTGCGCATTATTCAGACACTAGATGGCGCAGAATAGTTCTCGGATTAGCCTGTGTTATTCAGCGGTTGTTATCTGGGAATAATCTACATTGGAATGTCACGACTGACCAATCAGAAATGAGTATTGCAGACAGCTGTGAAATGAAAATGAATATTGTAGTGTTCCGCATTGTACAATTGCTAAAAAATAAGCAACCTGACCTGTTTCAGGAGCGTTTATGATCCCGTTCCTGATCCTGCTCGTCCTGGAGGGAATCCCGCTCCTGCATCTGGAGTTCGCCATCGGCCAGAGATTGAGGAGGGGTAGTGTCGGCGTCTGGAGGTCCATCAACCCATATCTGCTGGGAGTCGGTGAGTATTAAACACAACAAACACAGCTGAACAACAGTGTTCATTTAAACATCACACAGAATCAGCAGCTGATTAGTCACAGCATATTACAGATGTACTACTGAAATAGGGGTTTAAATATTCAAATGAAGCAATTATAATTTATTATGCAGAAATTTGCATAAAAAAATCAATCTTTATTTAGATTTTAGAAATGAATTATTTACTATAAATGAGGTCAATTACATATAAACAAACCTATTGGGGAAAACCTTTAACAGTTTTGTTAGGAATGAAACATTTACATTTGGTGCATGTCAGAGTACATTAGAGGGACAGTTCATTCACTCATTTCCCGTCGGCTTAGTCCCTTTATTCATCAGAGGTTGCCACAGCGGAATGAACCACCAACTATTCCAGCATCTGTTTACCACAGTGGATGCCTTTCCAGCTGCAACCCAGTACTAGGAAGCACCTATACAATCTCATTCAAACACACACACTTGTACACTATCTATGACCAATTTAGCTTGCCCAGTTCCCCTATAGCGCATGTGTTTGGACTGTGGAGGAAACTGCTCCCCGAGGAAAGCCACGCCAACACAGAGAGAAACATGCAAACTCCTCATAGAAATGCCAACTCACCCAACCGGGACTCAAATCAGCAACCTTCTTGCTGTGAGGCAACAATGCAAACCACTGAGCCATCGTGCCGCCCTATTAAAGGGACAGTTAACCCAAAAGTGAAAATTCTCTCATCATTTCCTCATCATTTAGAGTTTCTTTCTTCTGTTGCATCTGATAGATGGAAATATATTGCAAATTACATTTGACATATGAGTTTGTATTTTACATATACATATATATATATATATATATATATATATATATATATATATATATATATATATATATATATATATTATTAATATTTTTATATATATTATTTATGATTATTTTTCCAAATATAAAAATTGGCATTTAGATATAAATATATTTTACCTATTGGAATAATATTTACATTACAAATTTGTAGATATATATTCAAATATAATAGTTATAGTTAGACATATTTCAAAATATAGAATATATTTTTTAAAAATTCCCCAAATTTGCCAAAAAAAGACCTTATAAAAGAAAAGTCTCACAAAGAAACTGTATTGCATTGCATCTATGCATTAAAGAGAGTGGTTTAGTTAGCCAAAACTATGAATACACTGTATAATGTTTCATCTAGGGGCAACATGGTGGCTCAGTGGTTGGCACCGATGCCTCACAGTAAGAAGGTCTCTGGTTCGAATCCCGTCTGGGTCAATTGGTGTTTCTGTGTGGAGTTTGCATGTTCTCCCCGTGTTGGTGTGGGTTTCCTCCGGGTGCTCTGGTTTCCCCCACAGTCCAAACACACGCGCTATAGGGGAACTGATCAACTAAACTGGCTGTAGTGTATGAGTAAGTGTATGGGTGTTTCCCAGTACTGGGTTGCAGCCGGAAGAGCATCCACTGCGTGAAACATATGCTGTAATAGTTGGCGGTTCCCTCTGTCGTGGCGACCCCTCATGAATGAAGAGACTAAACCGAAGGAAAATGAGTGATTGAATGTTTCATCTTCTGTCTCTGGTGATTATATAGTGAATAACATCACACAGAGAGTAAAGCATCTCTCTCTCAGGTATCGCCTCTATGCTGGTGTCCTTCATCGTGGGCATGTACTATAACACCATCATCGCCTGGGTCATGTGGTACTTCTTCAACTCTTTCCAAGACCCTTTACCCTGGAGCCAGTGTCCTATTAATGGCAGCAGGACAGGTACACACCGTACAAACCATACACACTGTCCATACACACCATGCACACATTATATTGAGAAAGTAAAACTGCACAGTGTCCTGTAAGGGGTTGGGTTGGGGATAAAGTTGGGGTTAGGGGGATAGAAAACATTATCTACACATTATCAAAACAATGGAGACCTATGTAAAGTCCCCACAATTCAGTAAAACAAACCTGTGTGTGTAGGGTTTGTGTCGGAGTGTGAGCGCAGCTCTCCAGTGGATTATTTCTGGTACAGGAAGACTCTGAACACGACGCCGCACATCGAGGACTCTGGCGGTCTGCAGTGGTGGATGGTGCTCAGTCTGCTGTGTGCCTGGACGGTGCTGTGGGTTTGCTGCATCAGAGGAATCGAGACCACCGGGAAGGTGAAACACAACTGATGCATAATTTAATTAATAATACTCAATATAATTACTGTGTTTACATTATTATGAGGGTTGGGGTAGGGGTAAACGTTAATTAAATACAATTTAATGGGAAAATTTACCAATAATATAAATAATACTCTGCATAATTACTGTTTTTACCTTACTGTGAGAATTGGGGTAGGGAAAAATGTTAAAAAATACAATTTAATAAGTAAATTAATTAATATTATGATTATATTCGCTATAATTACTGTTTTTACATTAATATGAGGGTTGGGGTAGGGGTAAACATTAATAAAATACTATTTAATAGGTAAAATAATCAATTATAAGAATAATACTTCGTATAATTACTGTTTTTACATTACTGTGAGGGTTTGGTTTAGGGGTATGTGTTAATAAAATATAATTTAATGGGTAATTTAATCAATAATATGATTAATACTCTGTATAATTACTGTTTTTAGGTAGTAGTATGGGTAGACGTTAATGAAATAAAATTTATTGGCTTATTTAATCAATAATAAGACTAATTCTTGCTATTATTACATTGCTGTGAGGGTTGGGGTAGGGGTGTGTGTTAATAAAATATAATTTATTGGGTAATTTAATCAATAATATAATTAATACTCTGTATAATTACTGTTTTAATACATTACTGTGAGGGTTGGGGTTGGGTAGACATTAACAAAAATAAAAATTAATAGGTAATTTAATCAATAATAAAAGTAATTCTCAGCTGTATCCCTTCTAGCAACTAAGAATAAAAGTTCTTCAGGTAACATTAAAATAATGTTCGTCCAAAGTTATCTGCTCTTTAATAAAGATAAAAAGGCACTACTTTATCTCTGAAATGTTTTAGTTAGATGTTTATGTAACTTTTTTTACAATTTACTTGTTTAAAAATATTCAGAAAACATTTAAAGGCAGCATTATAATGCTTTCAAAATGAAAATAATCAGTAGTCTATCCAGATAACAGAATATTTTTAGTTATAAACAAAAGGTCTTCCAGTAATGCTGAAATGATGTTTGTCCAGAGTTATCTGGGTCTCATTTATAAACACTGCATTAAATGCTTTTCCTACAAAGAGTTTCTGTCTAAAACATCTACACATTTTGAAATCATTAAGCATTTTCTAGACAAGCAGAAAATATTGTCTTGTTTTCAGAAAGGATTTATTCAAAATGAGGTGAGTTTTACTGTAAAACAAGCAAAATAATCTGCAAATGGTGTAAGTGAAATAATCCTGTTATGGCTTTGAGATAATACTGATTTACTAACCCATTGGCAGATTATTTGCATTGTTTTAAGGCAAAACTCATTTAATTTTGACTCATTATTTCCTAAAACAAGACAATATGTTTTGCTTGTCTAAAAAAATGCTTCTCAATTTAAGCATTTTTAGATATTTGGACTAGAAACAAGACAGAAACTCTGAGTAAGAAAGGCATTTTTTGCAGTGCAGTGTTTATTAAATGGGAAACCAATGCTAACCCTAATTGCCAAACACATGATTGTCAGTAAATGAGGTGTAAAGTGTGTTCTGCAGTCCTCAATGAGTGATTTATTAGAGGGCATGCGCAGTGTTATGTCCACGTGCAGCTGCATTAATAACCTTGTTGATAAATGAGATGATTAACCCAGTGAAATCCCCACAATAATGAACAACCAGCCCTCAGAAAGAGCAGATAAACAGGGTTAATCCAGGGTGTGGTGACAGCGGTTAAACATTAACACACAGATTTACCGTCTGGTAGCCTGGAAGTTTTGCTAATGCTAGGATAAAACTCATAAAAGTGATAATAAGAGGAAACTGATACGACGGCTGTATGAGGAGCACAAAGGGCAGGAGATTGGTCTGCTGTAAAGATAATAAACAACACTAATGGCTGGAGAGGAATCTCTGATAACTGATATTTCTCTCTGATTTACATCACAGCGAGAGCAGACAACAGCTCATATGGAGACATAATGTAGAAATCTGCTCCTAAAACTATTAGAATTTGTTGATTTAAGACACTGTGTGCAAGCGAATTACGCCAAATTAAATCATCTTTTTTTATTAAATGCAATACAAATGCTTGTTTATTATAGTGTGTAATTTAAATGAAGATACACTGTATGAAAAATAATTATTCATGTCAAAATATGTATTAAATACTTTATTAAAGGTTAGAATTAAAATATATACATTTTTGAAATAAATTTTAAACATTATATATATATATATATATATATATATATATATGTTGTGTGTGTGTTATTATCTGTCAATTAATGTAAAGATATTCATGTATTTTAAGTAATGTTTGAAATCTAATACATTTATTTCAAAATATTAAATACATCATTTATTAAAGTGTATTAAATTAATTTCAAAATGTTTTATTATTCATAAATAGATTATTATTTATTAATTGTTTTGAAAATTTATATTATTTATTTTCTTTTATTGCTGTATAAAATTTTGTAAATTAATTGGAAGTTTATTCCTTATACTTTAAATTGAGTTTTAATATATATATATATATATATATATATATATATATATATATATATATATATATATATATATATATAAACATAAAAAATGTAATATACAATTTATAACAGCATTTTTGCACTGCTTAATTCATTCATTCATTTAATTTTCCTTTGGCTTAGACCCTTATTTATCAGGGGTCACCACAGCGGAATGAACCGCCAATTATTCCAGCATATGATTTACACAGCGAATGGATGCCCTTCCAGCTGCAACCCAGTACTGGGAAACACCCATACACACTCATTCACACGCATGCAAATTCCATACAGAAACGCCAGCTGACCCAACCAGGACTGGAACCAGCAACATTCTTGCTGTGAGGCCACAGTGCTGACACAGAGCTCACTGCTTAATTGTTGTGCAAATAAACAGCACTAAAAACCCCCAAACACAGCACTGCAGGCAGATTTACAGGTCTCGCAGAGGTTTGAGTGTGTGTTGCTGATTAGTGTGTGTTTATTGCGTGACTGTAGTGGTTTAGAGTGTGTGTTCATTGAGTGTGTTCTGTATGTGCAGGCAGTGTACATCACCTCCACCCTGCCCTATCTAGTGCTCACTATCTTCCTGATCAGAGGACTGACGCTCAAAGGTTCTGTCAGCGGCATCAAGTTCCTCTTCACTCCCGATGTGAGTCTCTCTCTCTCTCACTCACACACACACACATACACACTATTATTATTATTATTATTATATAAAGCAGGTGAGTCAGTGTGCATGATGTATTTTCTGACTGTGTGTGTGTGTGTGCAGGTGAATGAGCTCCTGGATCCGCAAACATGGCTGGATGCAGGAGCGCAGGTCTTCTTCTCCTTCTCTCTGGCGTTTGGAGGACTGATCGCCTTCTCCAGCTACAACTCTGTGCAGTGAGTGAACATTACACTGAAACACACAAACCTGCGCTGAGTGTAGTGATGTGCGAGGGCAACTATTTTAATCCAGTGAAAATGTCTGATTTTCTACAGTAATAACTGCGAGCAGGACGCCGTCATCATCTCTATAATCAACGGCATGACATCGATTTACGCCGCCATCGTCATTTACTCCATCATTGGTTTCAGAGCCACCGAGAGGTTTGACGACTGTCTCAATGGGTAACTTCATCTCTCATGCTCACTAGATAAACATTTAGTTAAAGATCATGTATGTATGTATGTATGTATGTGTATGTGTGTGTGTATATATATATATATATATATATAGTTGAAGTCAGAATTATTAGCCCCCGTTTATTTTTTCCCCCAATTTCTATTTAATGGAGGGAAGATTGTTTCAGCACATTTCTAAACTTAATAGTTTTAATAACTCATTTCAAATCATTGATTTATTTTTTTATCTTTGTCATCATGACATCAAGCTTAAAGTGATATTTAAAGGCTTCACTAGGTTAATAAGGTGAACTAGGCAGGTTAGGGTAATTAGGCAAGTTACTGTATAACAATGGTTTGGTCTATAGATTATCGGGGGGAAAATTAGCTTAAAGGGGCTAATATTTTTGTCCAAAAAATGTTTTTTGAAAAATTAATAACTGCTCTTATTCTAGCCGAAATAAAACAAATAAGACTTTCTCCAGAAGAAAAAATATTATCAGACATACTGTGAAAATTTCCTGAATCTGTTAAACATCATTTGGGAAATATTTTAAAAAGAAAAAAAAAATCGAAAGGGGGCGAATAATTCTGAGATATATATATATATATATATATATATATACAGTTGAAGTCAGAATTATTAGCCCCCCTGAATTATTAGCCCATGACAGTAAATAATATTACTCCAGATATTCTTCAAGACACTAGTGTTCAGCTTAAAGTGACATGTAAAGGCTTCACTAGGGTAATTAGGGTAAAGTTAGGGTAATTAGGCAAGTCATTGTATAACAGTGGTTTGTTCTGGAGACAATCCAACACTAATATTGCTGAAGGTGCGAATAATATTGAGCTTAACATGGCTTTAAAACAATTAAAAAATGATTTAGTCCCACTTTATATTAAGTGGCCTTGACTAATATGTACTTACACAGGAATTAATAATTTGTTACAATGTGCTTATTGAGTAAATACATGTATTTACTGTGTACTTATGCTTGATTAAAAACAGGTATGTAATTACCTTTTGTTATTACATTTGTAAATACACTGTTGACCATCCCTTACACCTTAACCCACCTTTAAACCTGCCCATGCCACCAAACCTGTTTATAACCCAACCTCTATCCCAACTCAAGAGCACCACAAGTGTTCTCAAATACATTATAAACACAGTAAGAACATTGTATTTATTTTTTGATGTAAGTACATAGTAGTTAAGGACACTTAATATAAAGTGGGACCAATGATTTTATTCTAGCTGAAATAAAACAAAGCAGACTTTCTCCAGAAGAACAAATATTAGAGGAAACACTGTGAACATTTCCTGAATCTGTTCAACATCATTTGGGAAATATTTGACAAAGAAAAATTCACAGAAGACTTAAACTCTACACTATTTTCCATTTTCAGTGAATATTCTGAAACTCACCACTCTTTTTTTCCTCCTCCTCACAGGAATATTCTGTCTCTGCTGAACGCGTTTGACCTGCCGGAGGGAAGCATCATTGAGGGTAACTACACTGAGGCTATTCAGCAGCTCAACATCAGCAGACCAGACATCATTCAGGAGCTGCAGCTGAAAACCTGCGACATGCAGACGTTTCTGAGCCAGGTCTGCTTCCCTGCACCTCCAGCAGATCTGATCTTATACTTTGCACAGTGTGGAGTCAATCTTCTCAGTGCTGTCGTGTGTTTGTCAGGGTGTTGAGGGAACGGGTCTGGCGTTTATCGTCTTCACTGAGGCCATCACTAAGATGCCGGTGTCTCCTCTGTGGTCAGTGCTGTTCTTCATCATGCTCTTCTGCCTCGGGTTGTCCACCATGTTCGGCAGTATTGAAGGTGTTGTGGTGCCGCTGCAGGATCTCGATATCCTCCCAAAAAATTGGCCAAAGGAGGCATATACAGGTGAGAATGTTAGGGGGCTCTCCAAGAGTGCATGAAATGACTGACTTTGGATTTTGTTTTACTTTGTTGGGTTATCGATTAGGGGTGGAGCAAAATATCGATATGCCGATTGATCGTGTTATTTAAGTCAGCGATGCATTATGGATAATCTTACGCCAAGTATAGAGATTTATCTAAATGTACAAAAGATTTGAATTAATTAGTGAGTACACTACAGCCGTTTCCCACTTTAGCTGCAGTACACCCAGCTGCCATCAGGCGGCGCTTACCATAATAGCAGATCAACAATAAGGTTGCTGAAGGTCGCTGGTTCGAGCCTCGGCTGGGTCAGTTGGTGTTTCTGTGTGGAGCTTGCATGTTCTCCCTGAGTCAACCCAAGCTCATTCTGAAAACGTAGCACTACAGACGTTTCTGGACGTCTTCGATTTACGTGAACGGAGGCAAACACTACGGGCGGTGTGACACCGCTCCTTTTCGCGCTCGCCGGCTGACGGCTCACTTCCTCCGTGTGGAGGGCTTTCCCGGCGCAACCAGTTTGTCCGGTTAGCTCGTTGTGTTACGTCAGCGGAGCGGAGGCCCGGAGGAGGAGCTGGCCGTGGAAAAAAAAACAGAATACAAAAAATAAAGCAAACGAGTTCGTATTCGGGCGAGAATGCGGTGAAATCCGAAAACGCGGATCAAAATCGGAAGGGGGCTTTTCTTTTTCTGGACAGCTTTTGCTAATCGTCAATTGGGTTTAGGGAAGAAGGAGGAGGAGGTGGGTGGCTGGGTCGGCCAATTGGTCGGCCGCCCAGTCAATCGTTCAGTCATTCAGTCAGTCAGTCAGACAGACGGCGGCTCAACGGCGGCCTCCGGCGGCTTTTTACGCGAGAACAGCGCGGGTAGAATGGCTCGTGCTCGCGAGAGGCGTTTGAGACGTGACAAAGCGCGCACAGCGGCCTTTCACGGATTAGCGAAAACAAAAACTGCACAAATACGTACCTCCCGGGACATATTTTGCAGTCTCCAGAAATGTCCACAGGGCTACGTTTCCAGAATGAGCCTGGGTTGCTCTGCGTGGGTTTCCTCCGAGTGCTCCGGTTTCCCCCACAGTCCAAACACATGCACTGTAGGTGAATTGTGTCAGCTAAATTGTCCGTAGTGTATGAGTGTGAGTGAGTGTGTATGGATGATTCCCAGAGATGGGTTGCGGCTGCATAAAAACGTGCTGGATAAGTTGGCGGTTCATTCCGCTGTGGCGACCACAGATTAATAAAGGGACTAAGCCGAAAAGAAAATAAAAAACTAGCAAACTAGCAAAAAACACTTGCTTTGCGTCTGGCACGTGTTCATAGGCTCCATATTGTTCAGCAATATGAACTGACTGCAGTGTCTGTCTGTGTCTGTGTTCCAGCTTTGGTGTGTGTGGTGTCTTTCGCTTTCGCCATTATATTCGCTCAGGGCTCAGGGGAATATTGGCTCGCTCTGTTCGATGGCTTTGCCGTATCCATTCCTCTGCTGATCATCGCCTTCTGCGAGATGATGGCTGTATCGTACGTTTACGGCATTGACAGGTGAGTCCACAGATCTTACAAACCACATCAAATAACAGCTACAGCAATAATTCAGCACATCAAGCGGAAGAGCAGCAGATGAAGACGCTCTCAGTTCAGTTTAATAGGACTGTCACTGTTCAAGGATGATCCACATTATATTGTAATCGACTTGTTTCCAGTGCATGTTGGGCTCCAGCAGGGCTGCCCTTTGCCACCGGTTCTGTTTATAATTTTTATATACAGAATTTCAAAGAGCAGCCTTGGGCTGGAGGGGGTCCGGTTTGGGGACCACAGGATTTCATCTCTGTTATCCGCAGAAGATGTTGTTCTGTTGGCTTTATCGAACATGGACCTTCAGCATGCACTGGGGCGGTTTTCTGCCAAGTGTGATGAGGCTGGGATGAGAATCAGCACCTCCACGTCCAAAGTCATGGTACTCAACTGCAAAAAGAGGGTTTGCCATCTCCAGGTTGGAGGAAAGTCCAAGTTGGAGTTCAAGTTGGTGGGGTTGGGATGGGTACAGCGGCAGGAGTAATGTGATGGATGTACCGGTCAGTTGTGGTACAGAAGGAGCTGAGCCGAAAGGCAAAGCTCTCGATTTACCAGTCAATCTACGTTTCTACTCTCACCTATGGTCATGAGCTTTGGGTCATGACTGAAAGGACAAGCTCTCGGAGACAAGCAGCTGAAATGAGTTTCCTCCACAGGGTGGCAGGGCGCACCCTCATAGACAGGGTGAGGAGCTCTGACACCCAGGTGGAGCTCGGAGTAGAGCTGCTGCTCCTCCACATCCAGAGAAGGCAGCTGAGGTGGCTCGGGCATCTGTTGCGGATGCCTCCTGGACGCCTACCTAGGGAGGTGTCCCACCAGGAGGAGGGCTCGGGGAAGACCCAGGACACCCTGGAAGGAGTAAATCTCTCGGCAGACCTTGGAGGAGCTGAAGGAAGTGTCTGGGGAAAGGGAAGTCTGGGGTTCTCTCCTGAGACTGCTGCCCCCACAACCCGGCCCCAGAAAAGTGGATGAAATTGAATGAATGAATATTCAATAGGCTATATGCACAGAGACTTTTAATTTGGAATAAGCCAGCTCGAGCACTTCCTGTAAACCATTAGGCCAGTATAAACTCAGCACATTTCAGATCTGCTTTACTGTAAGATCACTGATCTTCACTGCATGATTGATACACCATGTAAAGTGGCTTTCAGACTGGACAAGAAGCACTGCATTCAACTACATCACTCTGCACCATGTCTTTAGAATATGGACATTTATTTAATCATTTGTTTCCTCTTGAACAGCTAAATTAATACTTAGGTCAATTTAAATGACTGTATCTTCATTCAATTATCAATGCTGTAAAATCAGGGTGTCCGCTGGGTCTTAAAGCCACTGAAATATTGTGTTGTAGGTCTTAAACCATTTTACACAGGCCTTCATTTACTTTGTCCAAAGTAAAGCTCCTCAATCAGGCCAACCTTATCTTTTATATTTAGTTTTTTTATTGCAAAGAGATGGACAGCAAACTCCCCAAATTAGATTCCCCAATCAGGGAAAAAAAGACTAAGAATCGAGGAACAAAAACAACTACACCATTTCTCATGATAATATCAGGCCATTTGAAAAAATCCTGAGTCTTTAACCTTGTCTAATCTAAAGGTTCATACTTAATGATCTTAAAAGCATCTTAAAAAGTCTTAAATTTGACTTGAGACCTGCAGAAACCCTGTAAGAGGAACATCATGAAACTGAAAATAGTCACATCGACCCTTCACCTGAAGTATATCAGTGGCTGAAAAACACTTGCTGTGCATAAACCCCATCATACAGATGACTGTTTCTACATAACAGCTTATAAAGTGAAACCTGACCTGTTGTTGATGTTGTTGTGTTGTCACAGATTCAATGATGACATCAAGTTCATGATCGGCCACAAGCCCAACATCTTCTGGCAGGCCACCTGGAGACTCATCAGTCCTCTGATAGTGCTGGTCATCTTCCTCTTCTACTTCGTCACCACCGTCAGCAAAAAACTGACATACATCGCCTGGGACCCGGAGTCTGTACGTCACACACACACACATACACACTCAAAGTCAACAACAACAACACAGCAGATTCAGCACAGAGAAGCTCACCTCTAGTGTAACAGGGACAGACATCAAATACATGTAGTTATTAATTAATATTATATCTATCAAATATTTCCCAAATGATGTTGAACAGATTCAGGAAATGTTCACAGTAATTTCCTCTAATATTTGTTCTTCTGGAGAAAGTCTCATTTGTTTGATTTCAGCTAGAATAAAAGCAGTTTTTAACTTTTTAAAGGCTCAATATTATAATATTAATATTAATAATACGTGCCTTCATCAGTAGTGAGGATGCTGAGACGCATTTGTCTCCTCACGCATCGACTACTGTAATGCTCTTTTCATTGGTCTGCCTGCCGCTTCATCTCCAGATTACAGTATATTCAAAACTCACTCATACCAAACGTTCTGCTCACATAACCCCAATCTTGTACGACCTACATTGGCTCCCTGTTGCTTATCGCATTAAATTCAAAATTCTCCTCCTTCATTTAGATCCCTAAACAGCCTAGCACCCTCCTATCTCTGCAACATGCCTGTCCTCTACACCCCAGCTCGTTCATTATGTTCTGCTGGCTCTGAGCCTTCTCGCTGTCCCTCGGTATCGCCTCTCTCTTCAATGGGGGTCAGATCATTTAGTGTTATTACACCCAAACTCTGAAACTCTCCACCACGCTCACTCCGCTCTGCTAATAACATCTCTGAATTCAGATCCTTCCTTAAGACTCTCTTATTTTCTGAATGCTTCGCTTCTGATCTGCCAAACTGACCACTTAATCTGATCCACCTCCCCTCTGCTCATTTGTCTCCTACTGTAGGTCTTGTTCGTGTAATTCCAGTTTGTTATATTTGACTTCATGTATGTTTGTTTATCTTTTTGTTGTATTCTTTGTAAAGTGTCCTTGAGCTCTGGAAAGGCGCTATATAAATAAAAAATATTATTATTATTATTATATTATTGGCCCCTTCAGCAATATTAGTGTTGGATTGTCTCCAGAACAAACCACTGTTATACAATGACTTGCCTAATTACCCTAACTTTACCCTAATTACCCTAGTGAAGCCTTTACATGTCACTTTAAGCTGTCTTGAAGAATATCTAGTCTAATATTATGTGCTGTCGTCATGACAAAGAGAAAATATTAGGTTATTATAAATAAGTTATTAAACTATTATGATTAAAAATGTGTTGAAGAAATCTGCTCTCTGTTAAACAGAGATACTAGGAAGCAAATATTCAGGAGGGTGAACAATTCTGACTCCAACTGACTAATAATTTACAGTTAAACTACAAGAAAAGGTCCAAAGATTTGGGCTAGTGTATGTTCAAACACACAAAACCAGTCATGAAGTTTTTCTAAAAGAGCACACAGCGCCACCTGCTGTTAAACACCAGCATTGGATTAAAGTTAATCTTCTGACTGAGTTTGTTTTTCAGGCCACATTCCTTTAATCAACCCTTTATTTACTAACAGAGTTTACAGAAGACGTGTTTTAAACCACTTAAGTTTTGCCAGTTTATGTATAATAAAAACTATTGTTAAACAAGTACAGTTGAAGTCTGAATTATTCACCTGCCGTTTTTCTTTTTCCCAATTTCTGTTTAACAGAGAGCAGATGTTTTCAGCACACTTATATCATAATAGTTTTTAATAACTCATCTCTAATAACTGATTTATTTCCTCTTTGTCATGATGACAGTAAATAATATTAGACTAGATATTCTTCAAGACACTTCTATACAGCTTAAAGTGACATGTAAAGGCTTCAATTAGGGTAACTAGGCAGGTTAGGGCAATTAGGCAAGTTATTGTATAATTATGGTTTGTTCTGTGGAAGGGGCGAATAATTTTGACCTTAAAATGGTGTTTAAAAAATTATGAACTGCTTTTATTCTAGCTGAAATAAAACAAATCAGACTTTCTCCAGAAGAACAAACATTGTTAGACACACTGTGAACATTTCCTGAATCTGTTCAACATCATTTGGGGAATATAAAAAAAAATTCAAAGGTTGCGAATAATTCTGACTTCAGCTGTGTTTGTATATTATAAGTATATTGTTTCCCAATATCTCTGTTTAACAGAGAGCAGATTTTTCTACTAGTTTTACTAGTTCTCAAAAAATTCAACTTTCTAATTTTTAGCCATTCTTGCAATTAAACAATTTCGACAAGTCTGAGTTTACATTTATTTTTTTTTCAAGTTTTCTTTGTGCAAATGTTTTTGTTTTTAGCTATATAAATATATTTGATATATTTTTAAAGTCTGTGGTTTATAAGTATTTTTGTAATTCTTAACTTACAATTTTTCCTTTTTCTAAGAATGCATTTGTGAGTTTGTAAAATTCAAATTATGCGTAAAAACTCAGAATTGGGAAATAAGTTTTGCTTTTTTTGCCTTTTTTTCTCCATATCAGAAAAAAAGCCTCCATAAAGCATACAATACAGGGCTCAACAATAAGGGCTGCCCGATGGCCCGGGGCCAGTGTGAGAGATGCTCGGGACAGTAGACAGAATTGTTACTGGCCCAATCGGGGCAGTGCTGCCTTGTCACTAAATTTTAATAGACGGCAACATGACCGCGACATTAAATTATGAGGCTAAAGGAAATGTCTGTTTCTATCTTTGTGGAAACATTTAAATAGGTACAGCATGACGAAAAAAATGTTTTGCTTAGTTTGCCGTCACTTTTAAGTCAGCCACCTTTTGTTTTGCGATAAAATACGTGCACGTTTTCCATACTGCTATATTTTACTGCTAAATATTTTTCAAATATTTAAATTCTACAACTACTGACATTATTTTCATTCATTCATTTTCTTTTCGGTTTTGTCCCTTTATTAATCTGGGGTCGCCACAGTGGAATGAACCACCTGACATTATTCCGTGAAACATTATTTAATATATGTGGCTAACTTTTTTATTTCTTTTATGGGGCCAGTGAAAATTTTGGCAGGGCAAGTAAAAATCTGAACCACTGGTCCAATCGGGCCAGTAGAAAAAATTCTTAGCGTTGAACCCTGCAATATAATCAGAGCTCGAACAGAGAAAATGACCCTTTTAATTATTTTCTACTGATGGATTCATGCACAGCAAACTTCATGTCAGCAACTTTTATTTGTAAAAAAAAAATTCTACACAAGTTAATACATGTGTAAAATAAACATTTGAAGGATGCACATGTTTAATCTAGAATACAATAGTGCTCTCATCATGTTCATATGCACTATTGTGACCGTTACATCCTGAATTATTCACCCTCCTGTTTATTTTCACCCCAATATCTCTGTTTAACAGAGAGCAGATTTCTTCAGCACATTTCTAATAGTGTAAATAACTCATCTCTAATAACTGATTTATTTTCTCATCATCATGATGACAGTAAATAATATTAGACTAGATATTCTTCAAGACACTAGTATTCAGCTGAAAGTGACATGTAAAGGCTTCACTAGGGTAATTAGGGTAAAGTTAGGGTAATTAGGCAAGTCATTGTATAACAGTGGTTTGTTCTGGAGACAATCCAACACTAATATTGCTGAAGGGGTGAATAATATTAAGCTTAAAATGGCTTTAAAACAATTAAAGAAATAAAACAAAACTTTCTCCAGAAGAACAAATGTTAGAGGAAACACTGTGAGAAATGTTCAACATCATCTGGGAAATATTTGACAGAAAATTGCACAGGAGTGTGAATAACTCTGACTTCAGCTGTACTGTAAGTGCACATGCTAACCGTCCGTCTTTGTGTTATTCAGGAGAACTTCCCGACCCTGTCCGTGCTGCCGTACCCAGGCTGGATTTCTGCCATCATCTTCATTCTGGCCGGTATTCCAGTGTTGGTCATTCCCACAGTAGCGCTGGTCAGACTCATCAGGAACCGCTGCTGCAAGAAAGAGGAAACACACGCCACAGAGACACCATACTCCATCTCTGATAGAGTACAGATGATGGAGGAGACGGAGCAAAACAACCCCATCAGCACTGCATTACACTGACACACACACACACACACACACACACCGCAGAAACACCACAACCCATCTCTGACAGGTTACAAATGATGGAGGACAACAACCCCACCACCCCAGAACTCCACTTTCACACACACACACACACACACACACACACCACCATACTCCATCTCTGACAGGATACAGATGATGGAGACAGAGCAAAACAACCCCACACTCCACTGACACACACGCACACACACACACACACACACACACACACACACACACACACACACACACACACACACACACACTGTGTATGACTGTGTATGTGACTAATAAAAATTAAATTTGAAACATACACAAACACCAAACACACTCTCTCTCAGAAACACACACACACTCATGGACACAAATACACACACATACATACTGTATATATGTAGCAGAGGCCGGCTAGTGTGTGCTGTGCAGGTAAACTCCTCTGACCTCTAAAGCTGCTCTAGCCACAGCCGTTATGGTCTTTAGCCTCCTCGTTAGAGCAACCGACTCCCATGCGGAAGGTCGCCGGTTCGATACCAGCTCGGAGCGGGTTGGGTGGTGTAGGACTGGCGGGGTTACATATACACACACACACATATGAATATATATACAAACATATATAGACAGAGACGAACACACTCTCGCTCACACACACACACACACTGCATATTGTACTGTGTATGAGACAAATAAACAAAATTTGAAATTGACACACACACACACGCACACACACACACGCACTTATAGATGCATAGACACACACACTTGAACATACAAGAGACATGCCGTACTGAGAGGTTCTGTTTGTATGTACACATATACTGTGTGTGAGTGTGTGCAAATGTTCATCTGGACTGAGAGCAGATTAGTAAATCACCAAACTACATAAGGACTGGACTTTTGTGAACTTTTCCCTCTAAAATAAGTTATTATTTCTGCAGTGAAGGCTTGATAAGCTGCTGGGATCTGACGTGTGTCTCTATTCTGAGTTTTGAGGCACTTATTGAAACACTCCACTGTTTCTGGGGGTTATCACGAGAGCTTCTGTGACTTTAAAGCAGTGATATATGCACTGTATATTGTAATTAATGTCAATGATGTTATTTTTACTTGCTCAGTGGTGTTAAATCCAGCTAGATGAACTGTTTTTTGATTGTTTATTTGCTTGCAAAACTGTCCTGCAATTACGAGTTCATTTTTTACGGTCGTTAATTTATTGTCATTCCTGCAATTTTTCCTCAAAATTGTGACTATTTGATGTAATTGATGTAATTCTGACGTTATTTCTGATAACTCTGAGTTCATGTCGTGCAGTTCCGAGGGTTTTTTTATTAATAAATAAACCATAATTAATGTATAAATGAACTGTAAATCAACTAAATACACATTTCCTCAGCTCTTCATGGGCAAACGTGCAGCTCTATATATTGCAATTCATTTTTCTTTCCAGAATTGTGACTTTATCATATTTGTGAGTTTAATTAATTTATTGTTATTCTTATTTATTATTATTAAATTTACAAATCTGAGTGCATCCCAATTCTGCTAACGCTCAAAAAATAGCAATCGCAATTTTTTAGGCAAATAAGTATATATTTACATTTTTTCTACTCAGAATTGCAACTTTTGTTTTTAGTTATTTAAATATAATTTATTTACATTATAATATACATATAATTGGGGCGGCACGGTGGTGCAGTGGGTAGCACGTTCACCTCACAGCAAGAAGGATGCTGGTTTGAGTCTCGGCTGGGTCAGTTGGTGTTTCTGTGTGGAGTTTGCATGTTCTCCCCGTGTTGGCATGGGTTTCCTCCGGGTGCTCCGGTTTCCCCCACAGTCCAAACACATGCGCTATAGGGGAACTGATCAACTAAACTGGCCATAGTGTATAAGTGTGAATGAGTGTGTATGGGTGTTTTCCAGTGATGGGTTGCAGCTGGAAGGGCATCCGCTGTGTAAAACATATGCTGGATAAGTTGGCGGTTCATTCCACTGTGGCGACCCCAGATTAATAAAGGGACTAAGCCGAAAAGAAAATGAATGAGTGCATAAATATAATTAATGTTGATTTTACAGTTTATGGTTTACAGCAGGGGTGGCCAACCCTGTTCCAGGAGATCTACCATCCTGCAGATTTCAGATGCAACCCATATCAAACACACCTGTCTTATCAAGAGCTGTTCAGACCTCATGACCTGGTTCAGGTGTGTTTGATCAGGGTAGGAGCTGAACTCTGCAGGATGGTTGAGCACCCCTAGTTTATAGGCAATTCTTTGCTCACACTTTTTTCCTTTTTCTAGGAATGCACTTGAGAGTTGAGGAATTATTCAATGACATTATTAGGGGAAAAAGTCAGAATTGTGAGATTTGCATTTTTAAAAAAATCTTTTATTCCATATCAGAAAAAAACCTCCATAAACCGTATGCATACAATATAAACAGAGCTCCAAGGTGATCATTTACTGATGGATGCATGCACAACAAACTTACCTCATGAGTTTTCTTTTGTAAAAATAATGTAATCTTGTTCTATATAAGTTAATATTTGTGTAAAATAAACATCTGAAGGATGTACATGTTTAATCTTGAAGTATCCCATACATTTCGAAATAAGAACTGTTGAGGATAAAAACACAATAAAGCCCTGGGCTTGTTTCCATTGCGGTCCTCGCCGCTAAATAAAACACAGTATTGCTTCAAAATACAGATGATGCCTTCATTCATTCATCTTTCTTTTAGGCTTAGTCCCACTATTAATCACCACAGCAGAATGAACCGCCAACTTATCCAGCATATGTCTTGTGCAGCGGATGGCCTTCCAGCTGCAACCCTATTCACAATCAAGTAACATATAAAATAAAACATCCTCGTCCACCATGCAAACTAATTATCCTCATCAAACAACCATATTTTGATGGCTTTTTTCAACCTCCTTAAGTCTTTTATTTCCTTGATTGATTTTGGTCATTTGTTTCACATGATTGCACTTGTACATAATTAACACTAGACTTCTAAATTTAAAGAAACATCAGTGTTCATATGCAGTATTGCGAATTATTCGCTCTCCTGTATTTTCTTTCGCCAAATTTCTGTTTAACAGAGAGCAGATTTCTTCAACACATTTCTAATCATAATAGTGTTAATAACTCATCTCTAATAACTGATTTATTTTCTCATCATCATGATGACAGCACATAATATTAGACTAGATATTCTTCAAGACACTAGTGTTCAGCTTAAAGTGACATGTAAAGGCTTCACTAGGGTAATTAGGGTAAAGTTAGGGTAATTAGGCAAGTCATTGTATAACAGTGGTTTGTTCTGGAGACAATCCAACACTAATATTGCTGAAGGGGCGAATAATATTGAGCTTATAATGGCTTTAAATAATTAAAAACTGCTTCGGTTGACCATGTTTTGACTGTTTTAAATAATTAGATTAGATTCAACTTTATTGTCATTACACATGTACAAGTACAATGCAACGAAAGTGCAGTTTAGGTCTAACCAGCAGTGCAACAGCAGCAAGTGCAGGATACAGGAATGAGTTATAAAGTGCAGTTATAGAAAACTATGGTGATATTTACAGATGGATGTACTATCAACATTATATACAGGTTGGATAAGCTATGAACAGATTTACAATATATGAATATATGTGCAGGTTGCTATTAATAATCAGTAGTATGCAGATAAATAAGCATGATTACAAGTGTATATGTAACAATATATGAATATATGTGCAGGTTGCTATTAATAATCAGTAGTATGCAGATAAATAAGCATGATTACAAGTGTATATGTATAGTGGGTGTGTACATAATTACAAATGCCCATATGCAGTGGGTATGCACAGTTCAATACGTAAACAATGGTTTACACACATCCTGTTGCACTGCAACACTTGACTTTGGTTTTATTGTAAAAAAGAAAACAGGAAAGCGTGCTAAATGAGGATTTGAAATATTTTATGGCATACTTAGTATTCAAAAATGTTTAACTTTGACTATTTTTTTTATAATAAATTGGTCTTACACTTCATATTCGGAGATTTATCATAGTATATGCATTACTTCTGGTACTTTTTCCATAAACCGACATCTCAACCATTTGGTAGAGGCTGATATTTTAGAAATTATGGGATGGGTTGAATAAAAAAAATGCATTGACAATGTTAACTAGTGGCATTAGGAGTTAAGAAACGCTTTCCAAACATTTTTTTCTTGGTGGGGTAGTTAAAGGGTTAAATGGGTTTAAAAAATTAAAAACTGCTTTTATTTTTTAACATTTAAATAAAATATAAATATATATATATTTTTTTTTATTCCTGAATCTGTTCAACATCATCTGGAAAATATTTGCAGAAATTCACAGAATGGCGAATAATCTTGACTTCATCTGCATAACATCTTCTAATCATTCGAGGAGGATGTAATTGTAGATGTGTGATAACGTGTTTTATGATCTGCTTTTGTTCTTAACAATGTGGCCTTTGTAATAATAAAATAAATTTGCAGGTTTGATCATTTGTGTTTATCTGCAGTAAAGATATCCGCTCTGAGCCGATAACAGGGTACGTTCTGTCCAGCATATCAGAACACTGTAATATTTCATACAATAAATCATGCAGGAGGAAGAGCTGTAAAAATATCACTCACAATCCCCACATCATCAATATTTACTCAGAGCAATCCCGCACTCGATGAGCTCAAACACTGGCACAATTAAACACGTATAACACGAGAAAAATAATCCATTAGAATGTTTGATTCCATAAAAAAGGATAAACAATATAAATAATTAACAGCAAAAGAAATTGTACGTATTTTCAGATTTTGTTTATAGTTGTATGTAGTTAAACTTCTCTCACTTCAGTTAATTGGTGCCGAAATTTTACTCATTTCATTTAGTTTAATGCATTCATTCATCTTCCTTCAGTTTAGTCCCTTTATTTATCAGGGCTCGCCACAGCGGAATGAACCGCCAACTTATCCAGATTGTTTTACACAGCGGATGCCCTTCTAGCTGCAACCCAGTACTGGGAAACACCCATACACACTCATTTACACACACAGTCATACACTACAGCCAGCTTAGTTGATCAATTCCAGCTGACCGCTTACCTCCGTGTGGACGGCTTTCCCGCTGCAACCAGTTTGTCCAGTAGCTCGTCATGTACGTTGGTGGAATTGAGAGGAGTTGACCAAGACGATGGGGTTTGAGTCTGGTTTCAGAAAGCGGGTCAGACAAAAACAGAATCCAAAAACTAAAATAAACAAGAAAATAACAGAGTGAGAGTGTGGTGAAATCTGAAAACATGGTAAAAATCCAACCCAAGCTCATTGTGAAAATGTAGCCCCACGGACGTTTCTGGAGACCGCGATTTGCGTGGCCGGAGGTATGTATGGCTGCATTTAGTTTTTTCAAGTGAACGCTACGGGGTGGTGTGACGCCGCTCCTCTTCACGCTCGCTGGCTGACGGCTCACCTCCTCCATGTGGAGGGCTTTCCTGCCGCAACCAGTTTGTCTGGTAAGCTTGTAGTGTTACGTTGGCGGAGAGGAGGCCCGGAGGAGGAGGAGCTGGCCGCGTTCGACAACCGGGTTCGAGTCCGGGGAAGAGCGATTCCAGAAATCAGGTAAGACAAAAAAACAGAATACAAAAAAATAAAGCGAATGAGTTCATATTGGGGTGAGAATGCGGTGAAATCCGAAAACGCGGACGAGGGCTTTTCTTTTCTGGACGGCTTTCGTAAATCGTCGCTTGGGTTTAGGGAAGAAGGAGGAGGAGGAGGGTGGCCGGGTGGAGCGATTGGCCGGCCGCCCAGTCAATCATTCTGTCATTCATTTAGTCAGTCAGTCACTCGGACAAACGGTCGCTCGAAAGCTCAACGGCAAGCATAGCGTGGGCGCAAATGGCGCACACACGGAGAGGCGTTTGAGATGCGAAAAAGCGCACACAGCGGCCTCTCGCGGATTCGCGAAAACAAAAACTGCACAAATACGTACCTCCCGGGACATATTTCGTGGCCTCCAGAAACGTCTGCGGGGTTTCCAGAATGAGCCTGGCTTGTACAAATTAGACGAGGGTTTTTTTTCTGCATTGCTGTTGTAAAGTGCTGGTTGGGTTTGGTGGGTTAGTCGATTGGTCAGTCAGTCAGTCAGTCAGTCAACAGCAGCCTCTAGTGGATTTACGTGAGAACAGCAGGCTTGAACAGCACTCAGGAGAGAAATTTGAGAATGAAAAGCGCACACAGTGGCCTCTCATGGATTCACCAAAACAAAAACTGCAAAAATATGTACCCCTGGGACGTATTTCACGGTATCCAGAAATGTATATAGAGGTACGTTTTCAGAATGAGTCTGGGTTGAAAATATGGTAATTCCAGATTTTTCCAATATCCCTAATTCAAGTATACAGATATTTGTTAAACCAATTTCCAAGACTTTTCCAAAACTTTGTGGGTTTTTCCAAAACTTTTCCAGGCCTGGAAATGCCATGTCGAAATTCCAAGACTTTTCCAGGTTTTCCGTGACCGTATGAGCCCGGTATCTTAGTGTCCGCTGATGCTGAGTGCTGCAATCATGATACTTTGGGTTTTTAAAAATGATTAATATAAATGAATGCCAAATGTGAAACTGTCGGATGTCTCTGTGGGTGTACACTGCAGATAAAATCTCCATACAGGGACAAATGAAGTTAACTAACTAATGAACTAACTAGAACAAATATAACTAATAAACTAACTAATGCATTACACATTAACTAGCATCATCCAGCCTTTACTTTCAAATGTGAAAAATTGTCAGACATTGTAAATGTCCTTATTTGTAAAAAGTGCCATCAGCTAATAAACCGTCGGCATGTTAAAACGGCATCTGATTTGTTTGACCAGCAGAAATCATCCAATCATTACGGAGCATTACACATTAACCAGCATTAGTGCTTTATCTTGCTGACGAAACACTTCAGACGTCCCGGGACAGAGGAGGAGTATTAAAGGTCTGTCCATCAGTGTGAGCTCACACACTCTCTCTCTCACACACACACTCACCATGAAGCTGAAGCTGCCGAACCCGGGTCTGGAGCAGCGGATCCCGTCTCACAGTGAGCTGGAGAAGCTGGAGCTGCAGGAGGCTGGAGAGCGGCCCAAGTGGGACAACAAAGCCCAGTACATGCTCACCTGTGTGGGCTTCTGTGTGGGGCTCGGGAACGTCTGGAGGTTTCCTTACCTGTGCCAGAGCCATGGTGGAGGTACAACACACACACTATACACACATTTATACACACACACACCTGTGTGGGGCTTGGGAATGTCTGGAGGTTTACTTACCTGTGCCAGAGACATGGAGGAGGTACAACCCCAAATCAGAAAACACTGGGAGAGTATGGAAATCACACATAAATGAAGAAAGTCGTGATTTCTAAATGTACTTATATATATTGTTCACACTGTAATCATTTGCAGACTATATGAACATGACATATTTGATGTTGTGTCTGGTCAGCTTCAATTCATTTGTAAATCTTCCTCCTTTTCTGTCGCTCAGACCTGCAACACAGAAACAGGAATCAGGGCAGTCATCAGGTAAACTGCTGGAATAATGATGTGATGTGTGGATAACGGGGATGACCCCTTGCTTTGCCTTGGAAAAGATCACCTATTAATTAAAAAACAAAATTCATGTATTTTGGTCAATTTGGAAAATATTCTATGACTGTTTGGAGAATCTAGATGGTGACTCTTATCTTGAACTGGCAGTATATAGATTAGTATATAGGTATATAAGTATATAGATCAGACAAATATGTTATTTTACATATTATTTAACATTAATATTGTTTTTTTTTTCTTTTAAAGTGTGTTAAATTATTTTAATCTATATTATTCTTGCTGTATTTTAGTTTTTTTTTGTATTATTTATTTTAATTTAATTTGTTTATTAGTTTTATTTGTTTGCTAAACTGAAAAATAAACCTTTGTCAATTTGTTTGACTGTTTAAAATAAAATTTGTTGTTCAAAAAAAAAAATCATGTGACGTGACACAGGTGATGTCAGCAGGTGATGGTGATGATGATCTGCTCATCAAGAAAGCTCTAGTCTTTCAGGATGAGTCGAGGATCGCCAGATTGACAACACACACGAGAGAAAATGGCTGAAATGTGTAAACACACAGAGAAAGAGAGGAAGACATGTGGAGATTTCACCTTCAACAGTGCACAAATGCCAGTGGAAACTGTACTGTGCCAAAAGGAAGCCCTAGGTTAACAGTGTCCAGAAGCGCAGTCTGGGCTCGGAGGCATCTGGAATGGAGCATCGCACAGTGGAGACGTGTCCTGTGCTCAGATGAAACATGTTTCAGGTGTTTTAGGAGGAACGTGTGCTCCTGACCAAAGAAGAAAAGGATCATCCAGACTGTCACCAGCAACACGTCTAAAAGCCCGGCTCTGTCCTGGTCTGGGGTTGTGTCGGTGCTCTTGGTGAAGGTGACCTGCTCTTCTGTGATGCTCCATTAATGCTGAACAGCACACAGAGATTCTGGAGCTCAACATGCTGCCTTCTGCTCCAGGGACGACTATTCAGAGTCCAACAAGTCAATGCAGAACCACATTACAGAGAAGAGGAGACAGACACTGGACTGGCCTGTCTGCAGTCCCGACCTGTCTCCGATAGAGAGTGTGTGGAGCTTTTTAAAGCTCAAAATGCAACAATGAAGACCTCGTCCTGTTGTTCACCTTGACACTTGTTTGCAGGAAGAATGGGACAGAATTACACCTGAAACACTTGCTGTCTTCAGCCCCTCAACACCTTTAAAGTGTTGTGAACAGGAATGGCAGCATTACACAGCGGGAAATGCTTCACTGATACTACAGTTTTTGACATGTGTTGCGAGAAACAAACTTGGAACATGTGTTTATTTTGGAAAAATCACGAGGAACACTGAATAATGTTGGTTGTGTTGTCAAAGTACATTTAGAAATCACTACTTTCTTACACACACACTACAAACACACCTCTGCCAGAGCTATAGAGGATGTACAACACAGTATACACACTCTGGTGCAGCTGAATGTGTGTGTGTGTGTGTGTGTGTTGTGTTTCAGGAGCGTTTATGATCCCGTTCCTCATCCTGCTGGTTCTGGAGGGCGTCCCGCTGCTGCATCTGGAGTTCGCCATCGGGCAGAGACTGAGGAGCGGCAGTGTCGGAGTGTGGAGGTCCATCAGCCCCTATCTGACAGGAGTCGGTGAGACACACACACACATCTTAGAGAGGACATTACATAGACTTCCATAGTATTTAATCAGGTTAATGATGGTGTCTAGTTTAGCTCTACACCCACCCTCAGAGAACAAACAACTGCATACAGCCAGATACTAATAATACACGTCCTGATTGGCTGAACATGGCTGATTCAGAAACACTTTTAATTAGTGACTATAAAATCTCTGGCACACACACACACTCTCTCTCTCTCTCTCTCTCTCTCTCTCTCTCTCTCTCACACACACACACACACACACACATGCTATACAAACTCTCACACACAATATACTGTATTTACTCACTCACTGACACACACACAAACTATACAAACTCACACACACACTCTCTCTCACACACATACATACACATACACACACACACACACTATAAAATCTCACACACACATACTCTCTTTCTCACACACACACACACACACTATACAAACTCTCACACACACACACACACACACTCTCTCTCACACACATACATACATACACACACACACACACACACACACACACACACACACACATACACACACACACACACACACACACTATAAAATCTCACACACACATACTCTCTCTCTCACACACACACACACTATACAAACTCACACACACAGACACAAACACGCACACACATACTATACAAACTCACGCACACACACTTTCTCACACACACACACACACACACACGCTATACAAACTCTCACACACAATATACTGTACTTACTCACTCACTGACACACACACACACACACACACAAACTATACAAACTCACACACACACACATACACACAAACTATATATACAAACTCACACACACACACACTACACAAACTCACACACACACACACGCTATACAAACTCTCACACATGGTATACAGTACATATTCACTCACTGACACACACACACGCAAGCACACTCTCTCTCTCTCTCACACACACACACACACACACGCACACTCTCTCTCTCACACACACACACACACACACAATATACAAACTCTCACACACGATATACTGTACTTATTCACTCACTGACACACACACACACACACACACACGGACACACACACACTTTACAGACTCTCACAAACATGGTATACACATTTACTCTCACACACACTCTCTCTCTCAGACATACACTCCTCTCCTCCTCATTGGTGTGTATATGTGTGTGCTCAGGTATCGCCTCTATGTCTTCTCATCATCAGTGTGTGTGTGTGTGTGTGTTCAGGCATCGCCTCTATGCTGGCCTCCTTCATCGTGGGCATGTATTATAACACCATCATGGCGTGGGTGATGTGGTACCTGTTCAACTCTCTGCAGGAGCCGCTGCCCTGGAGCCAGTGCCCCGTCAACCTCAACCGTACAGGTATACACACACACACACACACACACAGTTATACACACACTTCACCAGCAACTTAAAAAAAAAAAAAAAGTTTAAGTAGTAAAATTATTCATTTATTTTCCTTCAACTTAGTCCCTAATTTTGCCACAGCGGAATGAACCGCCAACTACTCTGGCATATGTTTTACGCAGTGGATGCCCTTCCAGTTGTAACCCAGTACTGGGAAACACCCATACATTAGTAGCTAAATTACTCCAATTGAAACGGATGTGTGTGTGTGTGTGTGTGTGTGTAGGTCTGGTGTCGGAGTGTGAGCGCAGTTCTCCGGTGGATTATTTCTGGTACCGGGAGACTCTGAACACGTCGACTGCTATCGAGGACTCTGGCGCTCTGCAGTGGTGGCTGGTGCTCTGCCTGCTCTGCGCCTGGACCTTCCTCTACATCTGCTGCATCAGGGGCATCGAGACCACCGGCAAGGTCAACACACACACACACACACACACAAGCTGTTATGTCTGAGCATCTCCAAAATGCCTTCAAGTATCTGATGAAGGTATAACAGAATTAATAGGTAGCATTAAACGTGTATGATCCTCCTGTGTGTGCAGGCCGTGTACATCACCTCCACCCTGCCCTATGTAGTGCTCACGATCTTCCTGATCAGAGCTCTGACTCTTAAAGGCTCGGTGAACGGGATCAAGTTCCTCTTCACTCCAGATGTAAGTACACCAGTATTCGCCTCATGTGTGTATCCGCCGTGTCTAACAAGCTCCTCTGTTTCCCTGTGCAGGTGAATGAGCTGATGAACCCCTCCACCTGGCTGGATGCAGGAGCTCAGGTGCTCTTCTCCTTCTCGCTGGCCTTTGGAGGGCTGATCTCCTTCTCCAGCTACAACTCTGTGCAGTGAGTACTCCAGTACATCACACTACCTCAGAACCACAGATCAGAAAAGGTCAGGACACTATGGAAAACCGTTGTGAACTTCATAATGCATTATTCCCTCAGCAATAACTGCGAGCAGGACGCCGTCACCATCTCCATCATCAACGGACTGACATCAGTGTACTCCGCCACCGTCATTTACTCCATCATCGGCTTCAGAGCCACGGAGAACTATGACATATGTTTGGACAGGTACAGTTTTATATTACTAATAAACTACTACTGTTCACAAAAGAATAATATTACAAAAGCAAACGTTAGCTGATCAGATTAGATGTGAAAGGCTTGATGAATTTGGACTGCAATACCTACTTCAACCACTAGGTGTGAATCCTACATACTGCACCTGTATATTCGAATAATATGGCACAATTTGGCTGATTTTACTGTATTTTAAATTAAAATACAAAAATAAGCCTTGATGTTTTAAACTTAATTATGAGAAAGCCCAGGCTGTTGGTGATTAAAGTAACCTGCATTTGCTGTTTTTTAAATGAGTAAATAAAACAAATATTACAAATAAAAACATTTGCTGATTCACTTAGTGTACAGCTTGATCGTCAGGCATGCTTGCTTCTTTTTGTGTCGTCAATCTGGCAACCTGTGTGTGCGTCGGGTCGTCTTTGAAGGGACCAATCCAATATTTTGAATTTGGACTGCAATACCTACTTCAACCACTGGGTGTCAATCCTACATACTGCACCTTTAAATTCAAATACTATTACACGATTTTGCTGTATTTTTTTAAGTTTAAATAATTGCAGCCTTGACACCTTAAAATAATCACTAGAGATCTTACTGACCTCAGACTATTTTAGGGATTAAAGTAACCTGCAGTATGTTTAAGAAATAAAACGTTGTATTAATTATTTAAATATATATATATATATATATATATATATATATATATATATATATATATATATATATATATATATATATATATATATTAATTAGCAAACATGCCCTCTCTTATTTGTTTCGTCAATCTGGCAAAATTTGTGTGAGTCAAGTTGTCATCATCAGGTGAAAAAAATCTCAAATATATTATATAAAAATATAAAAATATATTAATTAAAAAAACATACCCTCTCTTATTTGTGTTGTCAATCTGGCAACATGTGTTTGCGTCAAGTTGTCGTCGTCAGGTGAAAAAAACCCAATCAAATATTCTGAATTTGGACTGCAATACCTAGTTCAACCACAAGGTGCAAATCTACATACTTTACATTAAAATAATACTACACAGTTTTGCTGCTTTTAATTAAATATATGCAGCCTTGATACTTTCAAAATAATTGTTAAAAAACCCTGGCTATTAGTGATTAAAGTAACCTGCAGTATGTTAGAAAAATCCACACGAGTTGTTTTTTATTTGGCAAATTAGACAAATATTACTAACAAAAACATTAGCTGATCAGCTAATGTGTAATGCTCGATCATGAGACAGGCTAGCTTCTTTTTTTGTCATCAATCTGGCAACTTACCTGTGCGTCGAATCATCATTATAGGGGTTGGGTGACAAAAACCCATCCAATATTTTGAATTTGGACTGCAATACCTATTTAAACCACTAGGTTGAATCCCACATCACCTTTATATTTAAATAATATCGCAAATCTGGCTGATTTCATTGTATTTGTAATTAAACAAATGCAGCCTTGATGTTTTAAACTTAATTATGAGAAAGCCCAGGCTGTTGATGATTAAAGTAACCTGCATTTGCTGCAAGAGCAGTTTTTTTTATTAGCAAATAAAACAAATATTACAAATAAAATCATTCGCTGATTCACTTACAGTGTAAAGCTTGATCGACAGGGACGCTTGCGTTTTTTGTGTTGTCAATCTGGCAACCTGTGTGTGCGTCAAGTCGTCTTCGAAGGGGCCAATCTAATATTTAGAATTTGGACTGTAATTTTGCTGCTTTTATTGTATTTTTAAGTTAAAAAAAATGCAGCCTTGACACTATAAAGATAATTACTGTAGATAGTCAAGTTGTCATTATGAGGTGAAAAAAAAATCGAAAATATATTATTAAAATATATATAAAAATATATTAATTGTCACCCAAGGGGTTGGGTGACAAAACCCCTTCCAATATTTTGAATTTGGACTGCAATACCTATTTAAACCACTAGGTTGAATCCCACATACTTCACCTTTATATTTAAATAATATCGCAAATCTGGCTGATTTTATTGTATTTGTAAACAAATGCAGCCTTGATGTTTTAAACTTAATTATGAGAAAGCCCGGGCTGTTGGTGATTAAAGTAACCTGCATTTGCTGCATGAGCTGTTTTTTTATTAGCAAATGAAACAAATATTACAAATAAAATCATTCGCTGATTCACTTACAGTGTAAAGCTTGATCGACAGGGACGCTTGCGTTTTTTGTGTTGTCAATCTGGCAACCTGTGTGTGCGTCAAGTCGTCTTCGATGGTGCAGAGTGAAAAAAAAAACCAATCCAATATTTTGAATTTACACTGCAATATCTACTTCAACCACTAGGTGTCAACCCTACATTCAACCCTACATACTGCACCTTTAAATTCAAATAATATCGCACAATTTGGCTGATTTTACTGTATTTTTAATTAAACAAATGCAGCCTTGACACTTTCAAAATAATCAGGAGAAAGGCTGTTGCTGATTGAAGTAACCTGCAGTATGTGTGTGTGTTCACAGTAATATTCTGTCTCTGCTGAACGCGTTTGACCTGCCGGAGGGAAGCATCACGGAGAATAACTACACGGTGGCTCTTCAGCAGCTCAACATCAGCAGACCAGACATCATTCAGGAGCTGCAGCTGAAAACCTGCGACATGCAGACGCTGCTGAGTGAGGTACTGCAGATCAGCTCAGGATAAATAATAAACACTGATGTTGAGTTGTGATGCTCGGATAGTAGCTAGAAGGCAAAGGGTCGCTGCTATCACCACAAAGCCACACTCATTCACTGAACAACTCAGTGTCTCTGTTCTCACATGAAGAATGAGGGAAATCACGTTGCAAGATGGTTCCGAGTTTTCCCGAGTATAACTAGTCCACTATCTTGACTCATAAACACCTGGTCCTTTTACTGAGATATCAAAATTCATGTGGCTCAAATTCGGCCCACACCAGACACTCGCAACCGGCCCACATACCGCATGAAATGATGGCACTAGGGTGGCCCACTACTGTTTGCCAGATCTGGGCCACAATTAAGCCACAGCAATACCACAAATTCAGCCAAATGAACCAGAACTGACCCTATTCTAGGCAACAGTTTGCTTTTATTCTGGCCCAGATCCGGCCCACACCAGACACTTACATCTGGACCACATGCTGAATAGAATGATGGCCCTAGGGCGGTCCAATCCTGTTTGTCAGATCTGGGATACAAATAAGCCAAGGCAATACCACATATTAGCCAGAATTCAACCAAATGAACCAGAACTGACCCTATTCTGGGCCACAGTTTGCTTTATTCTGGCCCAGATCTAGCCAATTACTTTTAATAATGAATTAAACATTGATAAACAGTTACAGCGGCCCAAAAGAAAATGTATATTAAGAGGTTCAGGGCTATGAGCCCAACTAAAGCAAACCCATTTCTCCATGGTGGTGACTTCAGTCTATGTGGTCCACGTATGTTTTAAGATAACTGGGGCACATTTTCCATATCTTCTCTGGGCCACTATAGGCTAACGGCGGCATTATCCAGAGCTTATTGGCCTGAATATTCACCAAAAGTGGCCCACATTTGTTTTAAGATAACTGGGGCACATTTGCTATATCTCCTCTGGGCCGCTTTAGGCTCACAGCCACATTAGCCAGAGCTAACTGTGCCGAATATATGCCAAATGCGGCCCACATTTGTTTTAGGATAACTGGGCCCTATTTGCAATATCTTCTCTGGGCCACTATAGGCTCTAATCCACATTAGCCAGCGCTAACTGTGCCGAATATTCGCCAAAAGTGGCCCACGTTTGTTTTAAGATAACTGGGCCAAATTGTCCATATCTTCTCTGGGCCACTATAGGCTAACGGCGGCATTAAAAGTGGCCCACATATTTTAAAAAAAAAACCTGAGCCACATTTGCCAAACCTTCACTGGGCCACATTAGGCTCACAGCCACAATAGCCAGAGCTAACTGTACCAGATATTTGCCAAAAGTGGCCCACATGTGTCTTAAGATAACTGGGCCACATTTGCATCTACTTATGTGAGCCACTTTGGGTTTAGACCCAGATTACCCTTAAATGACTAGGCCACTATTTTGCCAACTGTGGCCCACATTTCTCCTCTGTCATTTGGGCCAAATGTATCATTTTCCACATGGGCCACATTAGGCTCACATTCAGATTACTTTTGCCATAAGTGCCAAATCTTTGCCTTAAATGGCCCATATATGAATGTGAATCTTTGCCCCCCCCTTTGCCATTGACCAGGTGGGCCACTTCAGGCTCACATTCATTTTATCTGGGCCGAAGGAAGACCACCAGTGCAGCAAAACTGCCTAAAGTGGCCCACATTCATAAGCCATCTGGGTCCAGAATGACACCTTTGAAAGACTCTTCAGTGAAGTGTTCAGCTTTTGTTTCTGCTTTAAAACAGTAATCATGGTGAAAAGTGCCATACATATAACCCTGAACTGAATTTAACAGTGCTGTCGTGTGTTTGTCAGGGTGTTGAGGGAACGGGTCTGGCGTTTATCGTCTTCACTGAGGCCATCACTAAGATGCCGGTGTCTCCTCTGTGGTCGGTGCTGTTCTTCATCATGCTCTTCTGCCTCGGGTTGTCCACCATGTTCGGGAATATTGAGGGTGTTGTGGTGCCGCTGCAGGACCTGAACCTGCTGCCCAAGAGATGGCCTAAAGAAGTGTTCACTGGTAAACACTCCCAACCAGACCAGATTATTAACCCTTGTGGATTTTTTAACAAAGCAAGGACATTTTTCACAGTATTTCCTATTATATATATATATTTGTTATTATTATTTCTTTTAGTTTGCTGGAATAAAAGCAGTTTTTTATATTTGGAACTATTTATTTTTAATTAAATTAGTTTTATTACCTTATTTTTTGCAGAACAAACACTGTTGTACAATGACTTGCTTAATAACCCTCGTTAACCTAGTTAAGCTGAACACTAGTATCTCGCAGTGTAACTAGTATAATATTGTGTTTTCAGGTCTTACGTGTGTGGTGTCCTTCCTGACGGCGCTGGTGTTTGTCCAGTCCTCTGGTAATTACTGGTTAGCTCTGTTTGATGGCTTTGCCGGCTCCATTCCTCTGCTGGTCATCGCTCTCTGTGAGCTGATCGCTGTGGTTTACGTCTATGGGATTGACAGGTAAGAGTCAGCATGACATCACAGTGGTTTGTTTCCTACATGTTCCTGGACGTATGGTGCATTGACATCCTCTTTCAATCTCTCAGGTTTAATGAAGATATTAAGTTCATGGTGGGACACAAACCCAACATTTTCTGGCAGATCAGCTGGCGGTTCCTCAGTCCTGTCATCTTACTGGTCATCCTGATTTTCTACTTCATCACGACAGTCAGCAAACAGCTGACCTACAACGTCTGGGACCCTCAATCGGTAAATGACTGTCTAGATCTTCCCTTACACTAGTCAATCATTTCAGAACGCTCCGCCACAGGTTAAACCATGTGCAAAAAAAAGTTAGCTAATTTTTAGTAAGCTTAGGTAGCTCATCCGCATCACCAGTAACTCCTCCCCTTCATCATTAGCTCCTCCCCTTCACCAGTAACTCCTCCCCTTCATCATTAGCTCCTCCCCTTCACCAGTAACTCCTCCTCTTCATCAGTAGCTCATCCGCATTACCAGTAACTCCTCCCCTTCATCAGTAGCTCCTCCACTTCACCAGTAACTCCTCCCCTTCATCAGTAGCTCCTCCACTTCACCAGTAACTCCTCCCCTTCATCAGTAGCTCCTCCACTTCACCAGTAACTCCTCCCCTTCATCAGTAGCTCCTCCCCTTCACCAGTAACTCCTCCCCTTCATCAGTAGCTCCTCCACTTCACCAGTTACTCCTCCCCTTCATCAGTAGCTCCTCCACTTCACCAGTAACTCCTCCCCTTCATTGGCAGCTTCTGGTCTTCAACCTTAACCCCTCCCCTTTTTATGTAGCTCCTCCCCTTTACCAGTAATTCCTCCCCATCATCAGTAGCTCCTCCCCCTCACTGATAGCACCTCCTCTTCACCAGTAAGCCCTCCCCTTCAACGGTAGCTCCTCTCCTTTACCAGTAACTCCTCCCCTTCATCAGTAGCTCCTCCACTTCACCAGTAACTCCTCCCCTTCATCAGTAGCTCCTCCACTTCACCAGTAACTCCTCCCCTTCATTGGCAGCTTCTGGTCTTCAACCTTAACCCCTCCCCTTTTTATGTAGCTCCTCCCCTTTACCAGTAATTCCTCCCCATCATCAGTAGCTCCTCCCCCTCACTGATAGCACCTCCTCTTCACCAGTAAGCCCTCCCCTTCAACGGTAGCTCCTCTCCTTTACCAGTAACTCCTCCCCTTCATCAGTAGCTCCTCCACTTCACCAGTAACTCCTCCCCTTCATCAGTAGCTCCTCCACTCCACCAGTAACTCCTCCCCTTCGTCGGCAGCTTCTGGTCTTCAACCTTAACCCCTCCCCTTTTTATGTAGCTCCTCCCCTTTACCAGTAATTCCTCCCCATCATCAGTAGCTCCTCCCTCTCACTGATAGCACCTCCCTCTTCACCAGTAACTCCTCCTCTTCATCAGTAGCCCCTCTCCTTTACCAGTAACTCTTCCTCTTCACCAGTATCTCCTCCCCTTCCTCTTTAGCTTCTCCCCTTCACCAGTAATTCTTCCTCTTCATCAATAACTCCTCCCTCTCATCAGTAGCCCCTCCCCTTTACCAGTAACTCCTACTATTCATCAGTAACTCCTCCCCTTAAACAGTAACTCATCCTCCTCATAAGTAACTCCTCTTCTTCATCAGTAACTCCTCCCCTTCTGAAGTAGCTCCTCCTCATAATCAGTAGCTCCACCTCTTCATCATGGAGTATCGTGTACAAAGAGTTCCACATTCCACATGTATGTTTAACAGCATCATCATGGTATTTAAAGTGCACTGATTGGTTTCTATTTAATTTATACTACAAGATGAGGATGTGACCTGTTGTTTTGCGAAGGTAAATCTCTGTGTCTGTCTGCAGGCTGATTTCCCGACTCTTAAAGAGGTGGATTACCCAAACTGGATCAGTGTGGTGATCTTCGTTCTGGCCGGCGTCCCCAGTCTCTGCATCCCCGGAGTGGCCATCGGCCGAGCGCTCTGGAGGTGCTGTACCAGAAGAAAACACAAGAGCATTTCAGAAAAGCAGCAAATGAGTGTCAACACAATCGCATAAATACAGTGCGGAATTATTTAATAACACGATGTGGACACTATATGATACACTCGCCTTTCTGTCCTGTATATAATGTACAATCGATAACGTTTGTTATTTAGAGTTGGGAGTTATTTATATGTGTCATGTTAGGTTTGCAACATAGGCTCATACTGGAAGTGTAGCCCTGTATACATTTCTGGAGATCACGAATTATGTATCCAGAGGTGCGTATGGCTGCATTTCATTTTAAAACGAATGCTACGGTGTGGTATGACGCTGGTCATTTTCACGCTTACCAGCTGACCTCTTACCCCGGTATAGACGGTTTTCCTGCCAGTTTGTCTGGTAGCTCGCCATGAACTTTGGCGGACTTGAGGAGCAGAGAGGAGTTGACCATGGCGATAGGGTTGGAGTCCGGTGAAGAACGGTTCCAGAAAGCAGGTAGGACAAAAAGAAAGGCTAAAAGATAAAATAAACAAGTAAATAGCAGCGTGAGAATGTGGTCAAATCTGAACACATGGTTTAAGTAAATGTTTACAGTTGTTATTTGTTTAATATTTACCTGTCCGTGTCTGTTTCGTCTGTCTTCCTGGTTGCTCTTCCATCAGCCGGTCAGACAGAGCGCCTCCTAGAGGCCTGGCTGTAGTGCAGAGTTCCCTGTGGAGCACTCCAGAGCAACCGGAAGGCGAGTCGGGCGGGGCTTCACCTTTAAAAGGCAGCCCCAAACGCCAATTCGACGTCAGTTAACCTGGCAAGCGAGCAAACTACTGAGGTGCCGTGAGCAATTTGTGACCTGTCTGTGTAGAGTTGAAGTCAGCATTATTGTCTGCGCAATAGCCTAGGGGTTAGTGCGCTGACATATGGTGCAGTAGCAGGTCAGAGTGTCCCGAGTTCGAATCCTGGCTCGAGAACATTTCCCTACCCTCTCTCTCTCCAACTTCGCTTCCTGTCTAAATACTGTCCTATCTAAAAAAAAAAAAGCTGAAAATAAATCTTTAAAAAAAGTCAGAATTATTCGCCCCCCCTCCATTTATTTTATCCCCCCAATTTCTATTTAACTGAGAGCAGATTTTTTCAAGACTTTTCTAATCATAATAGTGTTAATAACTCATCTCTAATAACTGATTTATTTCCTCTTTGTCATGATGACAGTAAATAATATTAGACTAGATGGGTTAATAATTCTGTCTTCAACTGTATATTAGCGTGATTGACATTATAGAGTTTGTTTGCTGTTTATTTGTTCTTTTATTTTTGGTTATTTGGTTAATTTGCTGGGTTTTTGGGTTATTTTGGTTTTCACTCTCGTACACTGTAAATAAATTGTTGTGCCATCACTTTTGTGGAGGTTTTTCTTGTTTTACCATATTTTGAGAAGCCACTACAAGCCATCCTGGTTCGTCAACCTCACACGAAGGCTTTTCTTTTTCTGGATTGCTTTTGAAAACACTATTGGTTGGGTTTAGGGAAGGAGAAGGGTAGGTCAGCCAGTCAGTGGACAGCGGCCTCTGATGTATTTACATGAAAACAGCAGGCTTGATTGGCACTTCCAAGAGAAATTTCAGATCTGAAAAAGCGTACACAGCGCCCTCTGGTGGATTCGTGAAAACTAAAACTACAAAAAGTAGCTCATGGGATGAATTTGGCGCTCTCCAAAAATGTATATAGGGGTATATTTTCAGAATGAGCCTGGGTTTTAGGTTTGAGATATACAGTAGTCAACATTTGGATGAAAACCCTTCTACAAAGTTGTCCTAAAACACTTATTTTTGTCTTAGAACAAACTTTATTATTATTATTATTATCCACTATCAAATGTTGACTACTATATATGATCCTGACCACTTTAAGTGGAGAGAAAATATATATATATATATGTATCATTATTTTTTGTATTCTGTTATTTCATGACTTTTCCTAATTAAATAAGGTATTTTCAGAAATGTGTTTTATCATTATTATTATTATTATACTCACACAACCACTGAGCCACCATGCCACCAGCCCTAATTTTCAATAGAGTAATTTTTAAAGGTCTTTTAATATTTGATTTTTAAATAAAATTAATTCTAACTATAAAAAAAAATATTTGAATTATTTATATTAATATTACATTCTAATTAAAAGCCTTTAGTTGTTAATTATAGTTAACAGTTATGTTTAGAAAAATATTTAAAAATGCTTTATTTTACCTGATTAATGTAAATGTTTATTAATGTTTTTACATAAAAAATATTGATTTTATTTTGCCTTTAATTGAATGAGTTAATTCACTGATAACAGCAATAGTAAAATAAATTGTGTGTGTGCTTACAAAAATATTCCATTTTAAGAATATTTAATTTTTATTCCACATTAATCATCTTACTAATAATAATACAAATATATTTTACTACATTTAAAGCATTTATTGTAATATAATGTAAGCCACATTTGAAGTGTTTTTTTTATTTGTGTTTATTTTTTTAATTATAATTAATTAATTTATTTTTATATTAATTCTTTGATTTATCAGGGAGCGTACTGAATGCTTAATTCTGATTGGCTGATGAGCTTTTAACACCTTTAACTTTGCATTATTTTCTAACAATTCATCAATTATTCCTGGCATGTGTCGTCTGTATAATTTCCCACAGGTGCTGTATAATTAATTCAAGAAACCTTGAACAGTTTGTCCTTAAGATTGTACAGCTCTTATCTATCATTGTTAAATTAATAGCTGTCTGTTCTGCCTTTGTTCTAATAGAGATTGACTGGTGTGTTTCCCTGTGTGATGCACTTTCGGTCAGGATACTCATTTTACAGTCTGCTGGAACCATCATTAATTTATCTTATCTAATGGAAACACACTGCACAATTCAATCACAGAGGGTTACAGATACTAATGCAGTTCTGAAGCATCCCGACAGCTGATATTACAGCTAATACAGAGTAAAACTGACACTTCACATTTCTGTTATCTCATTGGTAACACTACATATATACAGTAACATATAATCTCATTGACAACACTACATATGGTGACTAAAGCAGGCTGTTTTAGTTAACCTTAATTAATGCAACAGCTAACATGAACAAACAATGAACAACACATTTATTACACAATATGTTCATGTTAGTTAATGACAATTTAGTTGCTCATAGTTCGCTAACTCACAGTGCATTAACTAATGTTAACAAGCATGGCGTAGGACGTTAATAATTCATTAGTAAATGAACAATGATTGACAAATGCTGTACATCATATTGTTCATTGTTAGTTCATGTTAGTAAATACATTAACTAATGAAACCTTATAGTAAAGAGTGTTGATTAATAATATTGTCTAAAATCTACAATAACTTGCTTAAACATTTCTCTTCAGAGCCAATATCTGAATAAATGTAGGTCTAATAATTTTGCATGTAATTATTAATAGTTACTTTAAGCAAATATGCAAAAAAAAAAAAAATATATATATATATATATATATATATCACCAGAATACTTGTGATCAATTCATTCATTGATTTTCCTTCGGCTTAGTCCCTTATTTATTATGGGTCGCCACTGTGGGATGAACCGCCAACTTTTCTAGCATATGTTTTACACAGCGGATGCCCTTCCAGACGCAATCCACTACTGGAAAACACCCATACATACTCATTCACACACAGTCATACACTACGGCCAGTGTAGTTGATCAGTTACCCTATAGCGCATGTGTTTGGACTTTGGGGGAAACCGGAGCACCCGGAGGAAACCCATGCCAACACGGGGAGAACATGCAAACTGACCTAGCCAGGAGTCAAACCGGTGGCCTTCTTTCTGAGGCCACAATGCTAACCTCTGAGCCACCGTGCCACCCTTTGTGATAGATTATGGGAATTATTATTTATTTTTAAAAAGTCACGTTTGATGGTATCATAAGTATTAAAAAAAAGAAATCTCACAGTCACCAGCTGGTGGCGCTATTGCACAACACTGAACATGTCGTGATGCTTCAGATATGTTCATGGAGACATTTCTAGCAGATTTTATGCTACCTCATAGATTAATTTTAGGTTAATCAGGGAAGTCATTGAATAACAGTTCTGGAGTCAATTAAAAAAAACAAACTAATTCTTAAGGAAGCTAATAATACAGACCTTAAAATGTGTGTATATATATATATACATACCTTAAAAACTACCTTAATTCCAACCAAACTAAAAAAAGACCTTATACAGAAGAAGAATTATAATAATAAACACTGTAAAAATGTCCTTGCTATATTAAACATCACTTCTGGTATATTAAACTGTCAGAAATAAAGGTACGCGAGCTGTCACTGGGGTGGCACTTTTTCAAAAGGTACACATTTGGTACCTCAAAAGTATTTATTAGTACCTAAACATTTTAAGAGGAACACTTTTGTTCTTTTTAGGTACTAGTTTGTACCCTTTGGTTATTAATATGGATCTTTCCAGTACAAGTTTGTACCTTTCGAAAAGGTATACCACCCCAGTGACAGCTCACGTACCTTTATTTCTGACAGTGTGGAAAAGAAATTAATATTTCACAGGAGACTGAATAGTTAAACACACACACTGTGAAGTCAAATAAACTATTTAATTTCTCCTGTGCTCCTAAAGAGATGTCCCCATTCAGGGTATTTCTGGATTAAAAGCAAAACACTGAACATCGCTGTAAAATCAGCAAAATATTAATGAACTGTAGGTCACAGATCACGGCTAACCAATGGTTCAACTATTGACTGAAAATACTTTGCACTGTATTCTTATCTTATCAGGGGTTCACCCTATTGTTATTGTTAGACTCAACATTCTGCAGTATAGCTGATCAGGCAGAGTGATGCGTCAGGTGTAGAGACTTCAGACTCTGAGGTGTGGTGGAAAAATCCTCACGAATAAACGTCACAGAGGCTCGTCCCAATCGATCAAAAGTACAAAAACTAAACTGCTCATTGTAGACTCGGGTGTCGGGAAGCATGGGAAACTTGTTCTCAAGGTGAACAAGACACATGCACTGGATTTAATCACGGTCAATTGTTCAGTTTTAGAATGCTTAGTAAAATTAGTTCAACTGAAACCAAAGCCAAGCAGACAGAATCACTGAAGCTTCAAACTGTATCAATCAATATACTCACATTCACATATTGTTATGTGCGTGTTGGACTATCAACTCATGTATTAGACAAAAAAAAAAGATCACAGTGACTTCTCTCAATGCACCAAACTGCATTTCACTGACTCAGATTTGCTCCAGTTGATCAGGGAGTGACCATTTGGTTCACTTTTGTTTCTCATTGGATAGAAGCTGCTTTATTCGCAATATTTAATGCAAATTTTCAGCTTCTTCCAGTATGTTTGGATGGAAACACAGCCAAGGAATCAATCAATAATAATAAAAAAATTGATTTATGTTCATGTTTTTTCCTTCACTTTCGTCAATTGGTGAAGCTTTGTTCACTGGCTTGCTTGGTTTGGGACTTGTGGAGCTGAGCATGGATGGATTTGCTCTTCAGTGTTTGGACTTCAGTGAAAATTAAACCAAACTGAGCTAAACTGAAACTCTGAACACTGGACTAACACTGTTTCACTTCACTAGAGGTTCAATGTTAAGCTGCTTCAACACAATCTACGTTGTAAGAGCGCTATAGAGAAATAAACATGACATTTATTGAACTGAATGTTGACAAAAATTAGAAAATTGAATATTTTCACTCAAACTTGTGCATGTGTGATCTGTAGCTGCGAGACTTGGCCACTTGGTGGCGCAATAACAAGAAAAAAACAAACATGAAAACAGCTGTAATTATTTAACTCTAACTCAGAGACATTAAATTGGATACAAGCTGTCTTTCTTTAAAATGGCATGTAAACCACTGTGGACATTGGCATCTCTTGGGAAACATGCTCATGATGCACCAATAATTTTAAGCACTGATTACACAAGGTTAAAATGGGCCAATTGGAATAAAAATTGGTGCAAATGTTTAACTCATGATGCTAGACGTCTGTGAGAAACCTGGAAAAATTTTGATCTTAAAAATGAAAGAAACGCAAATTTTATTCCTTGTATTTCACACAACATTCATATCTCCTATTGACAAGCTCCGCCTCCAAAACCACTGCAGTCAATCAAGATGTTTTTGTTTAATATTTGACATTAATTATATAAAAACTACCTTAACAAAACTAGTGTTAGTACAAGCTGTTGCTTTACAACAGAAAATGACATTTAAACACACATTAATCAGCTATTTAAAACGGGATTATTTCACTATGTAAATGCGTTCGTGAGCGTCAGAGAAAACTTTGAACTTCTGCATTTCAGTTTATGTAAACATTATATATGCATGCGCGCAATAAAAAGTGTAAATAATGATAAAGATTGTGTTATTGTGGCTCTAATGAGCGCTGGGTCTCCTTCATTCGACAGACAGTAGAGATTATACTCTACAATCAGATAAGAAACATCACCGAGCTCACGAAACAGCTATCAGTGACTCATCACAACACATCAAAGTCTACAGCGGATGATGTCATGCACCTGGCAACCGCATCAGCCGGATTCTCATTCATATTCATGAGAAGTGTGTTTGTTTTGCGCTGATCTGCTTCTGTGAATTCACTTTCACTATGATTAACCTCGCTCTGCTAATTCACATAGACTTCGCATTTATGAGCTGCTTATATTAAAATCTGGTTCTTATTTTGTTGCAAACAGACACAAAAGAACAATAAAAACACATTTTTAAGAACATTTTGGTCTAAACAATAATCACAAACCTGCGACTTTCATTATATTCAAAAAGCAGGAAAGTAAAATAAATAAAATAAAAGTAATGTTATGCTGTAGAAAGACTGAATTTACACTGTTATTTGTAATTATAACTTCATAACTAAATATTTAGCCATTGTCCTTACCATTTATTTAATAGATTTATAATGATATAATATATATATATATTTAGCCAAGCATCACGGTAGGGCACTGGGTAGCACAATTGGCATTTCTGTATAGAGTTTGCATGTTCTCCCCGTGTTGCTGTAAGTTTCCAAACACATGCTCTATACTGTAGGTGTATTGGATAAGCTAAATTGGCCATAGTATATGTGTGTGTGTGTGAATAAGTTTGTATGGGTGTTTCCCAGTACTGGGTTACAGCTGGAATCTTCTGTGTAAAACATATGCTGGATAAGTTGGTGGTTCATTCCGCTGTGGCGACCCCTGATTAATAAAGGGACTGAGCTGAAAAGAAAATGAATGAATGAATATTTAGCCATTGGTTTTGGGCAGTTTAATAAGATTTTGTGGCGTCACTATAATTTTTAATAATGGTATTTTATTTATTTGGAACTACATCAAATATTTTCTTTATATTTAATATTTATTTTCAGTGTTTTGTCATAATAACAAATGTCTTAATATGTACTGGTTAAAAATCAGGAATATTCCACCAAATATTGAGTTTGTAACTCTTCTGAAGTTAAGCACTGCTATTTTGTTGTCAATAAGTGAATATAAATTTCTATAGAAGTCAATTTGCAGAAACACACTCGCAGAAACAAAAACAATGGTCCCAACGTATTTCTTGTTTTACATGTTTAATTTCTACAGCTTCCGGGAATCCAAAAAGAGCCACAATATTGATAAATAATGCTATTATAACTGTTTTATTATGAAGTTATGATTGAATTTCCTTGTTACAGTTATGAAATAGTTTGATAACGAGCAGGAAATGTCCATGGGCAAAATACAAATATAAACATATGTAAACATTATAGACATAATGTATATATTTAATTTATTTTCTAAAAAAATGTTAATTGTTTAAATTGTGATGTTTTTATTGCATTTATTTACTTTATTGCCTTTTTATTGTACAATATTTAGCTGATTAACATGGGCCAAAATTGCATTGTGGTAACTAATAAAGCAAATGGTATGGTGCTGTATTAATAAAATGATGAATATAACTATTGATTTTGTTATGTAATATGTATAATATTTAGCTGATTAATATGCTGGTGTTTAGTGGTGATGTCTCTGAAGATTTTCCTTACTAATAACCGTGATGACGTCTCGCAGCTGCTGAAGATTTTCTTTGCTCCTCATCTCCTGAAAGGACTTTTGTTTATAGCGAATGGAATAAAAATATAATGAGGACAATAAAATGTTAACTGGCGTAACCTTTGCATCCGCAGTGCTCTGTGTTTTTACAGTTAAATCCTGGATTTGAGTCGGAGTTATCCATTAAACTGCATTTTAAACAAAAGCATAAATGATACACACCATCACACCCCCTGGGTTTAGTTAGGAGTGTGTGAGTGAGTGACACGACCCGTCTCTCTCTCACACACATGCAAAGATGGATACAGCGAGCGAAACCTCCAGCGTTCAGGAAAGACCCAAATGGGACAACAAGGTCCAGTATCTGCTGACCTGCGTGGGATTTGCTGTCGGGCTCGGAAACATCTGGAGATTCCCGTATCTCTGCCAGATTTACGGAGGAGGTGATTTTTGCAGAGAAAAAGGCATACAAACACACACGGATTTAATCTGAAGCTTTAGGAACTAAGCTATTTACATTTTTTTTTAAATACATTAAAAAATTTTTAATTATTTAGAATTGTACATTTTATAAATTTAAAAATGTTTTATGTAATTTGAATGATTTTTATATTTAATTTTTACAATTTGCACTTTAAAAAAATAAAAATTATATTGAAATTAACTAAAATTGTACAATTTATAAACATAAAAATAGTTATAGTTTTATTGTAATTAATTAAAAAAAGATTTATAATTTTGGCACATGCTGCGTTATCCTGCTGCCATCAGAAGATGGAGACACTGTGCTCATAAAGGGATGGACATGGTCAGCAGCAATACTCAGGTAGGCTGTGGCGTTGATGCTCAATTGGTACTAATGGACCCAAAGAAAATCTCCCCCACACCATTACACCACCACCACCAGCCTGAACCGCTGATACAAGGCAGGATGATCCATGCTTTCATGCTGTTGAGGCCAAATTGTGAGCCGAGCATCCGAATGTGTCAGCAGAAATGGAGACTCATCAGAGCAGCAACGTTTCTCCAATCTTCTATTGTGCAGTTTTGGTGAGTCTGTGTGAATTGTAGCCTCAGTTTCCTGTTCTTAGCTGACAGGAGCGGCACCCGGTGTGCTCTTCTGCTGCTGTAGCCCATCCGCCTCAAGGTTGGCCGTGTTGTGTGTTCAGAGATGCTCTTCTGCAGAGCTCGGTTGTAACGAGTGCTTATTTGAGTTACTGTTGCCTTTCTATCAGCTGGAACCAGTCTGGCCATTCTCCTCTGACCTCTGACCTCATCAACAAGGAATTCACGGCCACAGAACTGCCGCTCACTGGATGTTTCCTCTTTGTCGGAGCATTCTCTGTAAAGCCTAGAGATGGTTGTGCGTGAAAATCCCAGTAGATCAGCAGTTTCTGAAATACTCAGAGCAGCCCGTCTGGCAGCAACAACCATGCCATGTTCAGAGTCCCTTTCTTCCCCATCCTGATGCTCGCTCTGAACTGCAGCAGATCCTCTTGACCATGTATACATGCCTAAATGCAGTGAGCTGCTGCCATGTGATTGGCTGATTAGAAACTTGCGTGAACGAGCAGTTGGACAGGTGTACCTAATAAAGTGGCCGGTGAGTGTATGACATTTAAAAAATGTATGGTCTTAAATAAATATATTACCCTTAATTAAATATACTAATTAAATATTATTACCTAATTAAATTTACAACACTTTAATTAAAGAAATGGGGAAACCCATGCGAATGCAGGGAGAACATGCAAACTCCACACAGAAACGGCAACTGACCCAGCCAAGGCTCGAACCAGCGACCTTCTTGCTGTGAAGCGACAGCACTACCTACTGCGCAACTGCGTCACCCTTATTTATAATTTGTATTTATAATTTTAAAAAATTAACTACCGCAGTAAATGTGATTTCTACATTTGCAGTCGGATTAGATCAGTTACATGAGCTGGATTCACTGGTCAGATGCACACTAATAAACATTATCATTTCTCAGTGTGGACACAAATACATTTGTCGTTATATTTACATAATTAGTGTCAAAGAGGCTTTAGTGTAAACATTAAGACACTGCTGCAGTTCAGAGAATGGCCACCAGTGGCGCTATAACAAGCATTTTTTGGTTTTAAATAAAGCCAGTTTATTGAAAGTGGTTATTTCACTGTTTGTCAGGAGAGTTTCTGATCCCTACAACCAGTCTATATAAAACGAAAGCTTTTAAGAAGTTAATTTTGGTGTGTAGGGGCCTTTAGTGTAAAAACCAGCATTAAGACGCTGCTGCAGTTCACAGAAGGGCCACCGGTGGTGCTATAACAACAGTTTTTTTGGTTGTACATAAAGCCAGGCTGTTGTTTGGCTGTTTTTCAGGAGCGTTTCTGATCCCGTACCTGATCGCGCTGGTGTTCGAGGGTTTACCTCTGCTGTATCTGGAGCTGGCCATCGGGCAGAGTCTGAGGAAGGGCAGCATCGGCGTCTGGCACTCCATATCTCCACTGCTAGGGGGCGTCGGTGAGCCAACAACACACAACACTACATTATAACAGCGATATTACAACATTAGCATTACATCAACACATACAACGAGACAATATATTTAATGTTTTCTTTGTTATATTTAACTCTTAAGCTATATTTGTATGCTTTAGTAAAATATGTAATTAAAATAGCTGCTTTTAATGTGAATATCCAGTAAAGTCTCATTTATATGTGATGTAAAGCTGAATTATTTTGTCTTCAGTGTTTATGCATGAGGATCTGATGATCAATAAACATGATTATTATCAGTGCTTATTTTCAAAATCTAAATAAGAAACAATAAATGTAAAAAATAAAACATTTATAAACTGTACAAAATATTACACGTTAAAAATGCATTAAATTAAATACAAAATAAATGAATTAAAAAGTACATTTGCTAAAATATTCAAGTAAACTGACATATATATTATAATAATATATTAAATTTACATTTACAGGATCCACAGATGAATAGAAAAACCAAATTAATTGAAATTCAGCTATATTTTTGTGACATTTTTAGTTTTGACTGTCACTTTTAATCAATTTATTGCATTTTTTATTTCTACTGTTAGTGCATCACAATTATCAACAAATAAAATATTAAAATATATTCTTAATCATCAAATCCTCCTATTATACAGATTTCTGAAGGATCACAGACACTGAAGACTGCAGTGAATCTGAAAATTCAGCTTTACATCACATAAATAAATTACACTTTAAATTATATCTCCCTATCAAACAGCAATTAGACATTATTATATTGTTTAGCATTTTTTGGATCAGATAAATGTGGTTTTATTGTCAGTTGTGTGCTTTATGATTGGTTGTGCAACGCAGTGATTCTCCAAGGTGAGTTAGTGTAAGCGTTTTATGAGTTCATAAAGGCATTATAGTGTTATTATGGTGTAAATGTGATGTACTGTGTGCAGGCGTGGCATCAATGGTCGTCTCCTTCCTGGTGGGTCTGTTTTACAACACCATTCTGGCCTGGGTTTTGTGGTATTTCTTCCACTCATTTGAGGATCCGCTGCCCTGGAGCCAATGTCCCATTAATGACAACCTGGAGGGTACAAAAAACACCCAAAACACACACACACACACATGACAAAATAATATATGCACGTCATAAACAAACACAAGTCATGGAAAAGTCATCATTCATAACCAAAGCAACAGAAGAAATCACATAAGTCCGTCTCACAACAGACCTGCATATGCTTGGGTGTGTAAGTTGTGTGTGTGTGTGTGTGAGTGTATGTATATAAATACACACACATATATATATACATATATATATATATATATATATATATATATATATATATATATATATATATATATATATATATATATTATTTTTTACATATACAGAAAAAAATAGCAAAATAAATAAAATAAAATCATATAAAAATATACAGTAAAACAATATGCATTGAAATATAAATAAATTTAACAAATCTATTTATAAAAAAATGAAATAATTGCACGATAAACATTTATTAAATGTAATATATAAAATATAAAATAAATGTAAATATAAAAATACGTGCAAGCATAGACAAAAAAGAACTTAAAACATAAATATTTTTGAAATAAATAATTAATAAATGAGCTAAGATAAAAAAATATTAGCACACTAAAATAATACAATTAAATAAAAATTGCTGAATGTATAAAACAATAACTACACCAAATTAATTAACAAGTTAAATGCAAGAAATTAAATAATATAAATAATAAAAAAATACAAGAACATAAAGAAATGCATAAATAAAATATAAAAATGCTGAATTAAGTAAAAAATTAATCTCGTTTGCTTTTATAGAGGTTTATATAGTGTTTGTGTGTGTGTGTTTTAGGCTATGTGGAGGAGTGTGTGTCCAGCACGCCGGTGAACTATTACTGGTACCGGCAGACTCTGAACATCAGCCCAGATATCGAGCAGAGCGGCTCTCTGCAGTGGACGCTGGTGCTCTGCCTCGCCACGGCCTGGAGCATCGTCTACATCTGCTTCATTCGTGGCATCGAGACCATCGGCAAGGTCACAGTTTAAAAGTTATTCACCCTCCTGTGAACATTTTCTTCTTTTTCAAATATTTCTCAAATAATGTTTAACAGAGCCAGGCATTTCTCACAGTATGGTGCTGATATAGTGTGTATTGTGATGTGCAGGCTGTGTATGTGACGGCCACATTCCCGTACCTGGTGTTGACCATCTTCCTGGTGCGAGCGCTGACGCTGCCCGGAGCCACAGACGGCCTGCAGTACCTGTTCACTCCAGATGTGAGCACTCACACACAACATACAAGGGGATAGACCCGCCCTAAAGAATATTAGCCCTGTTCTAATTCAATGATAGCCCCGCCCTAAATAACTGATAGCACCGCCCTAAAGACTGACAGCCCTGCCCTAAAGCACTGATAGCCCCACCCTAAAGCATTGATAGCATCGCCCTAAAGACTGACAGCCCCGCCCTAAAGACTGACAGCCCCGCCCCAAAGACAGATATCCCTGCCCTAAAGGACTGATAGCCCTGCCCTAAAGCATTGATAGCCTCGCCTTAATAGACTGATAGCCCCGCCCTTAAGACTGATAGTCCTACCTTAAAGACTGATAGTTCTGCCCTAATGCACAGATAGCCCCGCCCTAAAGGATTGATAGCCCTGCCCTAATGCACTGATAGCCCCACCCTATAGACTGATAGCTCTGCCCTAAAGACAGATGGCCCGCCCCAAAGGCTGATAGCCGTGCCCTAAATCACTGATAGCCCCGCTATAAAGACTGATAGCTCTGTCCTAAAAACTGATAGCCCCGCCCTAAAGACTGATAGTTCTGTCCTAAAGACTGATAGCCCTGCCCTAATGCACAGATAGCCCCGCCCTAAAGACTGATAGCTCTGTCCTAAAGACTGATAGCCCCGCCCTAATGCACAGATAGCCCCGCCCTAAAGACTGATAGCTCTGTCCTAAAGACTGATAGCCCCGCCCTAATGCACAGATAGCCCCGCCCTAAAGACTGATAGCCCCGCCCTAATGCACAGATAGCCCTGCCCTAAATACTGATAGTTCTGTCCTAAAGACTGATAGCCCCGCCCTAAAGACTGATAGCCTGCCCTAATGCACTGATAGCCCCGCCCTAATGCACTGATAGCCCCGCCCTAAATGACTGATAGTCACACCCTAAAGACTGATAGCCCCGCCCTAAAGGTTGTGTTATTTGATTAATCATTATGTGCACGTTAATTGTTACACATTTAAAGTAGACGTGTAGTATTTAGTAGTATACACTGAAAATAAAAAAGTACATTTTGATTTTATGCCGACTTCAAATAGACGAGAGCTGTTTCAAAGATTGCTTAAAAGACTTTAACACACATGAGCTCAGTCTGACCATGTGTGTGTGTGTGTGTGTGTGTGTGTGTGTGTGCAGTGGTCGCTGCTCACTAACCCTCAGGTTTGGCTGGACGCTGCAACACAGATCTTCTTCTCTCTGTCTCTGGCCTTCGGTGGACTCATCGCTTTCTCCAGCTACAACCCCAAAAAGTACACAAACACACACTTATATGCATTATAACACATGATGTATATTCCTACATTATAACAGATGTGTGTGTGTGTGTGTGTGTGTGTGTGTGTATTACAGGAATGACTGTGAGCGTGATGCTCTGTTTGTGGGAATCATTAACAGCGCGACGTCTCTCTATGCCTCCATCCCCATATTCGCCATCCTGGGCTTCAAAGCCACCAGCAACTTCAACTCCTGCGTCAACAGGTGAGAAAACACACACACACACACACACACACACACACACACACACCAGAGACATGACCTTTGCACCCTAGCAACCACTCTAAACAGCTTACCAACTGCCTAGGAACCACCCAGAACATCTTATAACAACCACAAAGCATCCACTGAGAACAACCTGACAACAGCTTAGCAACCATAATTGAGCCCCCAGAACAAGTAACAAGTAACTAGTAACCACCCAGAAAACCCAAGCAAGTGTTCAGCAACCATGCAGCAACCACTTAGAACTAGGATCTTAGATACCACCTAGCAACAACCCAGAACATTGTAGCAACTGCTTAGCAACCACCATCCATCAATCTATCCAAAGATCCATACAAATATCCATCAATCTGACAACAATCTAGCAACAACCTTAGCAACTGCTTATTAACCACCCAGACCACCCTAACAACAACCTAGCAACCACTTGGAACACTAAAGCAAATGCTTAGCAACCACCATCCATTAATCTAAAGATCCATATAAATATCCATCAAGCTGAAAGCAATCTAGCAACAACCTTAGCAACTGCTTATCAACCACCCAGATCACCCTAGCAACAACCTAGCAACCAATTTGAACACTGTAGCAACTGCTTAGCAACCACCATCCCTCAATCTAAAGATCCATATAAATATCCATCAATCTGAAAGCAATCTAGCAACAACCTTAGCAACTGCTTATTAACCACCCAGATTACCTTAACAACAACCTAGCAACCACTTGGAACGCTGTAGCAACTGCTTAGCAACCATCATCCATCAATTTATGCAAAGATTCATACAAATATCCATCAATCTGACAACAATCCAGCAACAACCTTAGCAACTGCTTATCAACCGCCCAGATCATCCTAAAAACAACCTAGCAACCACTTGGAACGCTGTAGCAACTGCTTAGCAACCACTATACATCAATCTATCCAAAGATCCATACAAATATCCATCAATCTGACAACAATCTAGCAACAACCTTAGCAACTGCTTATCAACCACCAAGATCACCCTAACAACAACCTAGCAACCACTCAGAACACTATAGCAATTAATTAGCGACCACTATACAACTACCCAACCAACCGTCCATCTTTCCATCGACACAGAGTGACACTGAGCCGTTATTCAGAGTTTTGAGCCGCGTCTGCTGCTGTTGTGTTTCAGTAATATCCTGGACCTGACGAACGCTTTCGACATCGGCGACAGGAACATCACGATTGAGAACTACGACAGCTGGCTGAGGGACCTGAACGCCAGCGATCCTGACAGAGTCTCCAGTCTGAACCTCAAACACTGCGTCCTGAAGAACTTCCTGGACCAGGTCAGACACCACACGACACCACCTTCACCACCCTTGGCTCTACACAGTCACAATTATCAGATTAGTTTACATTTAACACTGCAGAAAAAACACGTCCAGTATACTCTGTTAACCAGGGTTGTCCAGATCTGATCACGTGATTGGAAATCAGACCCAATCACACGGTTTCAGACTCGAAATCAGACGTTACCTCCCAATCAGGACTTGAATATATATATATAGTCATTATTATTGAACACGTCTATAGTTATGCGTTGGCACAGAGTTAGACCTCGTTCTTGACTTCACACAGAAACAGCAGCGCGTGCAGCATGACATCACTGTGCTGCAGAGACGCTATTGGTTAAATGCCGGCAGAGTAGTGTTGGAGAAAGAATTATTCATTTAATTTCTTTTGGGCTGAGTCCCTTAATAATCAGGGCTGTGTGTTCAGAGCGCGTCAGGAACGGGTCTGGCGTTCATCGTGTTCACGGAGGCGGTGATCGAGATGCCGGGCTCTCAGGTGTGGGCCGTGCTCTTCTTCGTCATGCTCTTCAGCCTCGGACTCTCCTCAATGTTCGGTAATCTGGAGGGAGTGCTGACGCCCCTGCTGGACCTGCACATGGTGCCCCGCTGGATGCCCAAAGAGATCTTTACTGGTACACATACACACACACACACACATAGACGTGCATGCAAACAAACACATACACACAAGCACAGGCACACAAACACACACATACATACACATACACATGCATGCACAATAACACACACACACACACACAAACACATAGACGTGCATGCAAACAAACACATACACACATGCACAGGCACACAAACACACACATACATACACATGCATGCACAATAACACACACACACACACACACACACACACACACAAACACATACATGTGCATGCAAACAAACACATACACACAAGCACAGGCACACAAACACACACATACATACACATGCATGCACAATAACACACACACACACACACACACACACACAAACACATAGACGTGCATGCAAACAAACACATACACACAATCACAGGCACACAAACACACACATACATACACATACATGCACAATAACACACACACACACACACACAAACACATAGACGTGCATGCAAACAAACACATACACACAAACACAGGCACACAAACACACACATACATACACATGCATGCACAATAACACACACACACACACACAAACACATAGACGTGCATGCAAACAAACACATACACACAAACACAGGCACACAAACACACACATACATACACATGCATGCACAATAACACACACACACACACACAAACACATAGACGTGCATGCAAACAAACACATACACACAAACACAGGCACACAAACACACACATACATACACATGCATGCACAATAACACACACACACACACACACACACACAAACACATAGACGTGCATGCAAACAAACACATACACACAAACACAGGCACACAAACACACACATACATACACATGCATGCACAATAACACACACACACACACACAAACACATAGACGTGCATGCAAACAAACACATACACGCATGCACAGGCACACAAACACACAGATACATACACATACACATGCATGCACACGAACAATAACACACACATACAGACACACAGACACATGCATGGTCACTTTAATGCTATGTGAATGATACGGTGATGTCATTGGGATAATGATATGCTAATGGGATGACGTTATGCTAATGATATGCTGATGAGCAGGTCTGATCTGCGTGGTGAATTTCCTGGTGGCTCTGATCTTCACTCTGGGATCTGGGAATTATTGGCTGGAGATCTTCAACAGTTACGTGGGTTCAGTGCCGCTGCTGGTCATCGCCTTCTTCGAGATCATCGCCGTCGTCTGCTTCTACGGCATCAAGCGGTACAAACGTTCACTTTTAATATCATGCAGACAGATGCAGCAACAGATCAAAGCAAGAGCACCAGCTCACCACAGGAACTCAAATCATCAAAATGTAAAAAAAAGAAGAAAGTCAGATTTTAAAAATCAAAACAATTCAAAACACTTTTTAAAAGTTAACACAATTTTCATAAAATTAAAGTTTATTTTTTAATTTAATTTAATTTTAATCCCTGCTGCAAACCATTTTACAAAAAGTTTGATTGTTATTAATGTGTTTTGTTCAAACCATACACACACACACACACACACACGAACACACACACATACACACGCACACACACGAACACACACACATACACACACGAACACGAACACACACACACACACACACACACACACGTCAAGGACTTACATCTTAAAATCTTGACATTTCTGATCACTTGCCTAACATTTTATGTAGAGTTTTTTTTGGAATTGAAATAAATTAATCCTCAATATTAATCAGTTTATTCTCAACATTTTATTTAAAAAAAATACTAGTAATGGCAGGAGCTTAATCTCACATTATTATGACTATAAATGGTTTTCATTCATTTTCTTTTCGGCTTAGTGTCTTTATTAATCTGGGGCTGCCACAGCGGAATGAACCGCCAACTTATCCAGCACATGTTTTTCAAAGTGGATGACCTTTCAGCTGCCACCTATCACTGGGAAACACCCATACACACTCATACACTACGGCCAAATTCAGTTCATCAAGTTCCCTATAGCGCATGTGTTTGGACTGTGGGGGAAACCGGAGCACCTGGAGGTAGAGGTCTAGCCGCGGGACCCGACTAGATTTCTTACGGCGCGGGAATAAATTTCCAAATAAAACGTGGCAGCGGTCGGTAACTCTGGTTTAAATTGAACGGGAACGGGCGGGCTAATATCGCTCCCGACTCCCGAGCGACCACGCCACGCGTATGTATGTGTGTGAATGAGAGAGCGTGATGCTTTGTTTAGCTTATTTGTTGGAGTCTATGTGTGTGTGTATATGTGTGTGAATGAGGGAGAGAGCTTTGTGCTGTCTATATATATGTGTGTATGAATGAGAGAGAGAGCTTGGGTTCGGACTAAAACCTGGCAGGAGCGGGTGGGATTCAAAATGTAGTGCCGCACAGATCTCTACCCGGAGGAAACCAACACCACAATCCTAACCCTAACACAGAAACGCCAACTGACCTAGCCAAGGTTCGAACCAGCGACCTTCTTTCTGTGAGGCTATCGTGCTACCCACTGCACCACCGCATCGCCTATAAATGGTTTTACCTGATTTATTTTTATTTATTTTATCATGGCTCAGCTTTAATCCTCTTATATACACGTCACTTGACCATTAAGCAATTTGTAGTGAAACTGTAGTTTAATTATTACACATTTAATTTACCTCTCAAGCATCGTGTGTGTTTTCTCTGTGTTTCAGGTTCAGCGACGACATCGAGCAGATGACGGGACGGCGGCCGAACCTGTTCTGGCGCTGCTGCTGGATGGGCATCAGTCCTGTCATGCTGCTGGTGGTGCTGGTGGCGTACGTGGTGGTGCAGGTCCAGAAACACCCCACATACCCCGCCTGGAACCCACAATACGTCAGTCAACACCTTTTCTGACTTCAGCTCTTTAGTACTTTTAAATAATTCGTTTATTTAAATTCATATTTTAATTAATCATTAAGTTTTTGTAATTGTTCCTGTGTGTTATCTTAATACTGGCTGTTTATTTGAGCTGTTTAAACTACAAAATAATGTTAAAATTATTTAAAACGTGAATTTGTGTGTGTGTGTGTGTGTGTAGGAAAACTTCCCGGAGACGGAGGAGAAGCCGTACTCCACCTGGGTTTTCTCCATCTGTGTGTTGCTCAGCTCCGTCCCCGTCATCTCCATCCCTATAGTGGCTCTGTACAGACTCATGAGACGACACACACACCCACACAGCGGATACCCTAACCCATACACCAACCAGAGCTACACTGACGACACACACACACAGAGCTTCAAGCAGATCTAACACACACACTTACAAGAGCTACACTGATAACACACACATGTAGAGCTTCAGAACATACACGCACACACCCAGAGCTTCAAGCAGAACACACACACACACACACACACACCAATATTATGAGGCAGAATGTGTGTGTATGTGTGGAAATGTAAATGTTGATGTATTCCTGTGCTTGCTGACGTGACTCATATTGGTGTAAAATCACTCTGAGAATAAAATAATAATAATTTATTGGAAAATTGAAGTTTTTCAAATATTTTCCCACAGAAGATGCCTCTTAAACACCAGATTTAATAATAATAATACATAATATTTGACTAGATATGTTTCTAAATACTAGTATTCAGCCTAAAGTTACATTTAAAGGCTTCACTCGGGTTATTAAGGCCAGCATTGGACAGCTGTAGATAACCAAACTATATTTCCTTAACCATAAAATGTTTCATATCGTATTATAATTGTGTTCATGTATTGTACCTTGTATGCTATAATCTTACCTCCTATTTTTGATTAACATTACTATTTAATATTAGTAAAAAATATATATCGTTTTAATGGGGACTCAAGTGGCACAGTGGGTAGCAGTCACCGGCCACTTTATTAGGTACACCTGACTAGTTCCGGGTCGGACACCTTCAGAACTGCCTGAATCCTTCATGGCGTAGATTTATCAAGCTACTGGAAATGTTCCTCAGAGATTTTGCTCCATATTGACATGATAGCATCACACAGTTGCTGCAGATTTGTCGGCTGCACATCCATGATGCCAATCTCCCGTTCCACCACATCCCGAAGCTGCTCTATTGGATTGAGCTCTGGTGACTGTGGAGGCCATTTGAGTACAGTGAACTCATCGTCATGTACAGGAAAGCAGTCTGAGATGATTGAGCTTTATGACATGCTGCGTTATCCTGCTGGAAGTAGCCATCAGAAGATGGAGACACTGTGCTCATAAAGGGATGGACATGGTCAGCAGCAATACTCAGGTAGGCTGTGGTGTTGATGCTCAATTGGTACTAATGGACCCAAAGAAAATCTCCCCCACACCATTACACCACCACCACCAGCCTGAACCGCTGATACAAGGCAGGATGATCCATGCTTTCATGTTGTTGAGGCCAAATTGTGAGCCGAGCATCCGAATGTGTCAGCAGAAATGGAGACTCATCAGAGCAGCAACGTTTCTCCAATCTTCTATTGTCCAGTTTTGGTGAGTCTGTGTGAATTGTAGCCTCAGTTTCCTGTTCTTAGCTGACAGGAGCGGCACCCGGTGTGCTCTTCTGCTGCTGTAGCCCATCCGCCTCAAGGTTGGCCGTGTTGTGTGTTCAGAGATGCTCTTCTGCAGAGCTCGGTTGTAACGAGTGCTTATTTGAGTTACTGTTGCCTTTCTATCAGCTGGAACCAGTCTGGCCATTCTCCTCTGATGCTCGCTTTGACCTGCAGCAGATCCTCTTGACCATGTCTACATGCTGATATGCAGTGAGCTGCTGCCATGCGATCGGCTGATTAGACATTTGCATTAATGAGCAGTTGGACAGGTGTACCTAATAAAGTGGCCAGTGAGTGTGTATGTACGCCGTTACGCCTTATTAATATATGTATTTGTATTATGCTTTATTTAATTATAGTTTTTTATAATTAAATTGAGAATTATGACTATATTGTGTTTTTGTTTGTGGTTTTGTTATTAAAACTGCTCATTTAAATATTGATTAATTAAGGAATATTTAAAAGTCTCTTTTTCACACTCTCTGAGTAAATCAGTATTTTCTGTGTCGTCCGATGTTTGTCATGAAGAAAGCAGCGAATGTGAAAATGCTGCAGAAATCAATATTTGACTGTGTGAGGAGTCAGAAAAGCAGATCTGGTCACACATTACAGAAGTTACAGTACATTTCCATCAAGTTCAGCAGAAACTGAGCTGGAGTTAGTGAGTAACCTGAATAACCAGCGCAGGGATTACAGCTGCATTAAACACACGGTGAGAACATCAGCAGCAAATAAACTCTACCTCATTACAATAAAGTCAGCTTTTACTAACTGTGTGTTTCTACAACTGTAGTTTCAGTATATCACACACACACACACACACACACACACACACACACACACACACTGCAGTGCTCAGAAACTGAGGATTATTTTGCATATTTCTAAATTGATTTGAATGTAAAAACTGAAAAATTAGCATGAAATTAAGCTGAAATTACTGTACATCTTCGGTATCTGTACATATTAATATGTAAATAAGATATAACAATGAAAAAAGAATATCAAAAATTAAACGTAACTGACAATATATTAAAAACTAAAATTAATGTTTAAAAAAGCTAGATAGATAAAACAAAATATGAAAATTTATTTATCTAATTAAAAAAATGCTGGATATTTGTACACATTAATACATAAATAATAATTAAGAATGGAAATATCAAAATAATAATAATGCAAAAAGCACATAAAAGAAATAAAAAGGCAACTGAAAAAAATAATTTACATTTAGATAAGCTATAAAAAAGTTTTATTTTGAAAATTAATTTAGCTAATGAATATAATAATTTATATAATGATGCAAAAAGCACATTAAATCGGTAGAATTTTAATTTAATAGAAAATAATATATAAAACCTAAAAAATGCATTTAAATGCGCTAGAATAAAACAGAAAAATAGGTATATAAAATAATTAATTTAAATAATACTTAATTTAAATAAATAAAATGATTAATTTAATATTTAAATATAAAAATGTATATTTTAAGTATAAAAAATTATGTAATATTTATTTTTGAATCAGCACACATTAAAATGCAAGTAATACATAATTAAAAATGTAAACAGAAATAATAATAATAATATTGCCAAAGCGCTTAAAAAGCTGCTTAAAACCTAACTGAATGTATAAAAAGCTGAAATAAACATTAAGCTAGAATATACATGTAAGAAAAAATTTAAATAATAATTAAAAAATAATTAAAATAAAAAAGTTGTCAATTATTTATAGTATTATCATTACATTTATCATATTATTTGTTTTTGTTATATTATTATTATTTATTTTAGCTTATTGAAGCACTAAAATATCTAAATATGACACAAAAAAGCTAAAATGTACACTAAAGTATAAAAGAAATATATTAAAATTAAAACAAATTTAAAATATGCCAGTTTTAGACTATATAGTCATTTTCTCCTGTGCAAAATACAAACAAATCAAAACAAACCAACCCGACTTCTGCATCGATCTGTGATTTTGGTTTATTTTCAGACAGAATATCAAGCTACCTGAACAGAAATGCTGTGTTTACGAGTGTGTGTGTGTTTTACAGTCAGCCATCAAGTGTTTATGAGCAGTGCAGATGTGTTTAGTCAGCTGTCAGACAGTAAAAGGAAACTGTTCCCAGATCAGTGTTTACTGTTGTGTCGCGTGACAGGTTTTTTTTACACCCGCATGCTGAAATCCAGGGGGATTCTGGGAGAGGAAGCTTGACGGACCCGAGCCAGAGTGATCCCGCAGAGCTCACGCTGAAGAGCACGCTTCCCTGCACACACAAACACACACAACCTCACATCAAACTACACAAGCACAACACTACAGACAACACACAGATAAAACTAAACAAACACACATCACATTAAACTGCACAAACATACACACAAGTTCTAATCGCGTGTTCATGTTGTTTTAATTGGTTTACTTTTGTAGTTTCAGTCAGTTTGTCTTTGTAGTTTCAACCAGTGTGACTGTAGTTTTAACCAGTGCGACTGTAGTTTTAACCAGTGTGACTGTAGTTTTAACCAGTGCGACTGTAGTTTCAGTCAGTGCGACTGTAGTTTTAACCAGTGTGACTGTAGTTTTAACCAGTGTGACTGTAGTTTTAACCAGTGTGACTGTAGTTTTAACCAGTGCGACTGTAGTTTCAGTCAGTGCGACTGTAGTTTTAACCAGTGTGACTGTAGTTTTAACCAGTGTGACTGTAGTTTTAACCAGTGTGACTGTAGTTTTAACCAGTGCGACTGTAGTTTTAACCAGTGCGACTGTAGTTTCAGTCAGTGCGACTGTAGTTTTAACCAGTGTGACTGTAGTTTCCGTCAGTGCGACTGTAGTTTCAGTCAGTGCGACTGTAGTTTTAACCAGTGTGACTGTAGTTTTAACCAGTGTGACTGTAGTTTTAACCAGTGCGACTGTAGTTTTAACCAGTGCGACTGTAGTTTCAGTCAGTGCGACTGTAGTTTTAACCAGTGTGACTGTAGTTTTAACCAGTGTGACTGTAGTTTTAACCAGTGTGACTGTAGTTTTAACCAGTGTGACTGTAGTTTTAACCAGTGCGACTGTAGTTTTAACCAGTGCGACTGTAGTTTCAGTCAGTGCGACTGTAGTTTTAACCAGTGTGACTGTAGTTTTAACCAGTGTGACTGTAGTTTTAACCAGTGCGACTGTAGTTTTAACCAGTGCGACTGTAGTTTCAGTCAGTGCGACTGTAGTTTTAACCAGTGTGACTGTAGTTTTAACCAGTGCGACTGTAGTTTTAACCAGTGCGACTGTAGTTTCAGTCAGTGCGACTGTAGTTTTAACCAGTGTGACTGTAGTTTTAACCAGTGTGACTGTAGTTTCAGTCAGTGCGACTGTAGTTTTAACCAGTGTGACTGTAGTTTTAACCAGTGTGACTAGTTTTAATCAGTGTGAGTGTATTTTTAAACCAGTGCGACTGTAGTTTTAATTAGTGTGACTGTAGTTTTAATTAGTGTGACTGTAGTTTTAACCAGTGTGACTGTAGTTTTAACCAGTGTGACTGTAGTTTTAACCAGTGTGACTAGTTTTAATCAGTGTGAGTGTATTTTTAAACCAGTGCGACTGTAGTTTTAATTAGTGTGACTGTAGTTTTAATTAGTGTGACTGTAGTTTTAATTAGTGCGACTGCAGTTTTAACCAGTGTGACTGTAGTTTTAATTAGTGCGACTGCAGTTTTAACCAGTGCGACTGTAGTTTTAACCAGTGCGACTGTAGTTTTAACCAGTGTGACTGTAGCTTTAACCAGTGCGACTGTATTTTTAAACCAGTGCAACTGTAGTTTCACTCAGTGCGACTGTAGTTTTAACCAGTGTGACGGTAGTTTTAACCAGTGTGACTGTAGTTTTAACCAGTGTGACTGTAGTTTTAACCAGTGCGACTGTAGTTTTAACCAGTGTGAGTGTATTTTTAAACCAGTGCGACTGTAGTTTTAATTAGTGTGACTGTAGTTTTAATTAGTGCGACTGTAGTTTTAATTAGTGTGACTGTAGTTTTAATTAGTGTGACTGTAGTTTTAACTAGTGTGACTGTAGTTTTAATCAGTGCGGCTGTAGTTTTAACTAGTGCGACTGTAGTTTCAGTCAGTGTGACTGTAGTTTTAATCAGTGCGGCTGTAGTTTTAACTAGTGCGACTGTAGTTTCAGTCAGTGTGACTGTAGTTTTAACCAGTGTGACTGTAGTTTTTATCAGTGTGACTGTAGTTTCAATCAGTTCGTCTTTGTAGTTAAGTCAGTGTGACTGTAGTTTCAATTAGTCTGACTGCAGTTTCAATCGCTGTGACTGTAGTTTCAGTCAAGTTGTCTTTGTAGTCTTAGTCAGTTTGTCTTTGTAGTTTTAGTCAGTGTGACTGTATTTTTAATCAGTGTGACTTGTTTCAACCAGTGTGACTGTAGTTACAATCAGATTAACTGTAGTTTCAATCAGTTTGTTTTTATAGTTTAAATCGGTTTTGTAGTTTCTGTAATTTCAAACTGTGTTTGTAGTTTCAATCAGTGTGTTATTGTAGTTTTTGCCTGTTTTGTAGTTTCCTTCTGTTTCTGTAGTTTCAAACGGTGTATTTGTGTAATCTGTTTTTGTAGTTTCAATTGTTTTCTGTAGTTTTAATCGGTGTGTTTGTAGTCTTATTCAATGGGTTTGTAGTTTAAAGCATTCTGTTTTTGTAGTTTCAATCAGTGTGACTGGTTTTAAATGGTGTTTGTGGTTTCAATTGGTTTTGTAGTTTCAAATGGTGTTTCTGTAGTTTCAAACTGTGTGTTTGTAGTTTCAGTGTGTTCCTGTACTTTGCTTTGTGTTCTGAACACTTGTTTTAAACTACACAAGCACACTAATTGAAGCTACCCAAACACACAGAGCAGATGAAGCTAACGGATCAATCATTACCCTCCGCATCTCCACACACACACACACACACACACACACACACACACACACACACACACACACACAGTTTCTCTTTCCTGGAAGCATTTTCCATTCCATAAACCAACTCAAATACACATTAACAGATGTAATAAGTGATTGTGAGTGTAATTATGTCTGTTTGTAATGTTTTTGTGAGCTGCTCATCACCTTTAAGTGCTTTAAACCTCACAAACTTTCCATATCGTAGCTGCTGCTCTGATTGGCTAATATGAGGCTGTTTATCATGAATCAGACTATTAAACATGAATGTTATGAATGTCATAATAGAAGTCATTAGGATTGGTATTGAAGTTCAAAATTAGCTAAAATGTACAATTACATTTTAGTAGACATTGAAAAGCATTGTGTGTGTGTGTGTGTGTGTGTGTGTGTGTGTGTGTGTGTGTGTGTGTGTGTGTGTGTGTGTGTGTGTGTGTGTGTGTGTGTGTGTGTGCTGCAGACGTACGTTTGTGCAGTGCAGGGATCAGGCAGTGGTAAATTGAGCGAAACCGTCTGAAAAGCGTCTCGAAGGCCAAACAGAATAAAAGCTGAACCGCCTCAGACTGCAGAACACCACCACTGTCCACAGAACACACAGGCAGACCTGGAGAACACACACACACACACACGTCATTCATTGTTTCTGTCTTTCTGTGTGTGTGTGTGTGTGTGTGAGTTCATGAGTGAGTGTGTAAAGGTGTAATAGTGTGTTATAATGTGTGTCAATGAGTGTGTTTGTGTGTGTATGTGTGTGTGTGTGTGTGTGTGTGTGTCAGTGGTATACGTGTGTGAGAATAAGTCAGTGTCTGAATGTGTGTGTTAGAATAAACATATGTATTGGAAAAGTAGTGTGTGTGTGTGTGTGTGTGTGTGTGTGTCTGTGTGTTTGTGTATGTGTGTGTGAGAGAATGGTATGTGTGTGCAAGAATGAGTGAGTGTCTGGATGTATGTGTTAGAGAAGTAGTGAGTGTGTGTTTGTGTGTGTGCATGTGTGAGAGAGAATTAGTGTGTGTAGCTGAGTGTGTTTTGGAATAAATATATGCCTAAGAGAAGTAGTGTGTGTGTGTGTGTGTGTGTGTATGTGTGCACAAGAGTGGGTTTGTTCGAATGTGTGTTAGAATAAATATATGTGTGAGAAAAGTAATGTGTGTGTGTGTGTGTGGTATGTTTGTAAGTGAAAGAGAGTGTGTATTATAAGTGTGTATGTGAGTGTGTGTGTGTGTGTGTGTGTGTGTGTGTGTGTCAGCAGAGCTCTTGCCTTTGTTAATGTGTGTGAGGAGTTTATTGGTGACTCGAGTCATTCTCCAGATCATCTTCAGGAAGAACGAAGGGTTTCTGTTCACACTCTGACCCAACGGCAGACTCCTCACGCACGCATGAAACCTACACACACACACACACACACACACACACACACACACACACACACACACACACACACACACACACACACACACATACACACACACACACACACACACACACACACACACACATACACACACACACACACACACAAAGAAACACACACACAGAAACAGAGGCAGACGCGCACACACAAACACACACGCGCAAATGGACACACACATATACAGATAGACACACACACACACACACACACGTACACACGCACGCACAGAAACACACACACTGTGTCAGTGAGGTTGGTTGTGGGCTGTTTTTAGTGTGAATGGAATCTTTTCCCTCAATCATTGACCAGCACACACACACACACACACACACACACAATCTGTGTGATCTTCAGCTGAAAATAAACAGCAGTGAAGTGTTTTCAGCCATCAGTGTGTTCTGCTCACAGCTGTCGCATGTCTCAGTGCTGATCTCCTGTATGTCGAGGACTGAGAGCTGTAGTGTTTACCTGAGCGCCTGCAGCAGAATCAGCTTATACAGACTCCTGTAAACGGCCTCCACAGAGTTCAGCTGGAGGAACAGAGCCATACATACATTCATAAACAGATATATATATATATATATACAGTATGGGTTGTTGCCAGATCTGCATCTAAAATCTCCTGTGACTTGAACAGCTTGTAATGTTTCCTAGACTAATGGAGATTTCTTTGAATCATGGGTAATGCAGTTTTCACTGAGTTATTAAAATATTGCATTATGATATATTTTTGCTTTTATTTAAAGTGGCTTACAAGTGATACTAAAATTTAATATAAGTGATACAAGAGATAATATAATATATAATATAGTATATTATAAATAAATATAATATAATAAAATATAATTTAGAATAATATAAAATATTATAATAAATAATAATATACTAAAATATCATTTAATATAATATAACGTAGTATAATATAATTTATTATAATATAAAATAATATAATAAAATATAATTTAAAATAATATAAAACATTACAATAAATCATAATATAATACAATATAATTTAATATAATGTAGTATAATATAATTTATTATAATATAAAATAACATAATAAAATATAATATATAATGTAATATAATATAAACTATTATAATAAAATACAATAAAATAAAATATAATATATAATATAATTTAATATAATATAATATAATTTTATATTATATATAATAAAATATAGTAAAATATAATTTAATATAATAAAAAATATATAATAAAATATAAAATATAATTTAATATAATATAATTTAATATATAATACAATATAATATAATATAATATAATATAATATAATATAATATAATATAATATAATATAATATAATATAATAATAGCTCACAATATGTCCATCATTAAAGGTTTGCAAAATCAAATAAACAAATATAATAAAATAGTAAAAAAATTTGGTCAGGAACATATGGTTACAATAAAAAAGTGAATAAAATAAATCCCAGCCAATCAGAGCTGATCTTTTGGTTAATATGTGTGACTTTGGGCCAATGAGAGTGTTGGGGGCGTGTCTCACCCTGAGGTCTAGGAAGATGTCCGTGCTTTTGATGCTGAGCACCGACAGCAGCTTCTTCATGACTGTAGATGGAGAGTGGGCGGAGCCCAGAGTCAGGCTGTAGCGCAGTGATAGGCCGTCATACCTGAGTGGGCGGAGCATTCATACAGTCTGGACAGTCAGATTGTGTAAATGGAGAAATATAATACCTGGAGATCAAATACATGGAAGTCTTAAACAGTGACAGTTCAGTTTTGGCGCCATGGTGGTGCAGTGGGTAACACTATCTGGTTTGAGATAAGTTGGCGGTTCATTCCGCTGTGGCAACCCCAGATTAATAAAGGGACTAAGCCGAAAATGAATGAATGAATGAAATTTAGTTTTGCGTGTGTGTGTGTGTGTGTGTGTGTGTATGATCATCTATAAGCTCACCGTGAGTAGTCTTTATAGACGTCCAGCGTGTGTGTGTGTATCATCAAGCCGCACCAGGGGAACAGGCAGCTGGACGGCAGCACAGAGACGCCCGAGTTTACCCAGGACACACACACCGGGAAGTTCACCGCCACCTTCTGAGGGTTAATCTGGCAACCGTAATCTGGAACTCCAGACAGAAGAGTGCTGGAGGACAAACAGAGACGTGTCAGAGTGTGTGTGTGTTTGTCAGTGTGTATATATGTGTGTGCATTTCTATGTATGTGTGTGTGTTGGACATACGTCAGAAACTCTGTGGCTTTACTCAGATGAGGAGTAATGAGCAAAAAATCATCAATCAGCCTCATCAGACACCTGTGAATCACACACACACACACACACACACACACACACACACACACACACACACACACACACACACACACACACACACACACACACACTTTTACATCTTCACAATACTTCATTCCTTCTTATTTATGAGCCGTTTCCTCGCGGGGACCAAAAAATGATCACACAAAATCAGAAATTACTGGTATTCCTATACTTGTGGGGACATTTAGTTCCCAATGTGATGAATACCAGTATACACACACCCGCAACAGAGTTTGCATTCTCACAAAAGCATAAATGCAAACACACACACACTTATTCCCTCTCACACGCACACATGCACGCACTTACACAAAGTTAGAGACACAGAGACACTGAGAGAGAATGAACAGATGTGATGAAAGTCTGACACCTTGTGGTGATGTTTATATCAGAGTTATTACTGCTAAAGCTATTAAACCATTTTAACAACTGAAATCAAGTAAAAAAATTAAATAAATATAAAAAAACAAAGAGTGTACTAAAGAAAAATCAATCATTTTGACCCATACAACTTTTTTCTTCACTCTATTATGAATAAATATACCTGCGCAACATGCGGTGGATAAAGTGTCACATTTATTTTGCGTGAATATATATATAAAAGGGGACATTTCATACAGCAAACTTCATTAAGGAGTCAGAAATAGTTCTATAGGTTAATAAAACTGCGGATGAAGAGAACAGCGTGTGTGTGTGTGTGTGTGTGTGTGTGTGTGCTGCTCACCCTCCTTTAGCGATGTCCTTCAGCAGGGCTTTCTCCATGTGTCCGTAACACAGATTACACAGCAGAGAAGACACAGAAGAGCCCTGCGGGATCCCACACACCTGCCGGAACATCCTGGACACACACACACACACACACATGCATGAACACACAAACAAACACACACAGCACATATTCAGCATATCTGCTGGAGAAACACACTGCTCAATGTCTGGAAACACTCCAGTCAGAGTCAATAGTGTGTGAACTGCCCCTTTAAGAGAAGGTCAACGATAAATGAGCCGATTAAACATCCGACATCATTCTTTTACAGTTCGTTAGACTGTTAACGTCTTTATTTTTGTATTGTGTGTATATGAGAATCTGTGTGTGTCTGTGTCGTTTACATAATGTTGATTAACTTGTAACGTCCCATATTAAGTGAAACACTCACTGCTGGTCGTAATGGATGACGTAACTGCTGAGCATCTTCTGGAAGAACTGGAAGACGTCTCCACCTCTGACCTCAGACGAGTGCTGACACACATGTGCATGCGCAGCAACACACATGCACACACAGGCAGGCAGACATGCACACAAACACACGCACACACAGAATCAGGCATTTATGCGCGCACACACAAACGTACATGCACAGACACACAGACACGCGCACACACATACACACATGCACATAAATACATGCACATACACAGACATGCATATAGACATACGTGCATATATAGACACACACAAACACACTCACACACACATACATACAATAAATAAACACACAGACATGCACACACACGCAAACACACACACATAGACAAAACACACACACACACACACACACAAATAAACAAAACACACACACACACAAAATAAACAAAACAAACACACGCACACACACAAAATAAACAAAACAAACACACACACACAAAATAAACAAAACAAACACACACAAACACATACACACACACAGAAATAAACAAAACAAACACACACACACACAGACAGAAATAAACAAAACAAACACACACACACAGACACACATGCAAACACAAAAATAAACAAAACAAACACACACACAAACATACACGCAGAAATAAACAAACACACACCCACACAAACACATACACACACACATGCAAACACAAAAATAAACAAACGAACACACACATACACACATGCAGAAATAAACAAACAAACACACACACAAAAAAACAAAAAAACACATACACACACACACAAAATAAACAAAACAAACACACACACACACACACACACGCAAACACACACAAATAAACAAAAACACACACACACACACAACAGCAAAAATGGGAATTTTAGCAATTTAAAGCACAAAATGTCTTGTTGTCTTGAAAAAATATATAATTATTAAACAAAAGGGTGCAAAAATACAGCAATAAGAAAGTAATTAATGACAGTAAAGTATTTTATAAATTATTTATTTGTTCATAATGTAATGATGGTGATGATGCAGTGTGTACCGACCCGCTCCACTAATATAGCATCATGCAGGCGCCCGCTGACCTGTTCATCCACAACAAACCCCTTCATGTTGAGCGGCTCCGACATCTCAGCCTGAACACACACACACACACACACACACCTTCGGTTTAGTCCTTTTGTTCATCAGGGGTCGCCACAGCAAAATGAACCGCCAACTATTCCACCATATGTTTTACACAACAGATGCTCTTCCAGCTGCAACCCAGTACTGGGAAACACCCATGCACACTCAACACACACACACACTCATACACTATGGCCAGTGTAGTTGATCAGTTCCCCTATAGCGCATGTGTTTGGACTGTGGGGGAAACCGGAGCACCCGGAGGAAACCCACACCAACACGAGGGAGAACATGCAAACTCCACACAGAGACACGAACTGACCCAGGCAAGACCCAAACCAGCGACCCTCTTACTGTGAGAAACAGACAAGTGTGCTCTTACTTTGGTGCAGAAGCGTTTGCGCAGGCCGCGGGTCGGGTCGCTCCACACACTGCTGTACTGACGCAGGAAGAAGCTCTGCTCTGCAAACGGACCCAACACTTCCTTCAGCACCTCCACCAGCTTCAGGTGCGGGAGACTGTCATACGCTCCGCTCACATCCACCTCACACACACACATACACATACATGTTAACACACACATATACAGACATACATACACACACAAACACATATATGCACACACATTATATATATATATGGGCATACACCCATACACACATGCACGTACATACACAACCATACACATACATATGCACGCACGCGCGCCAACACACCATACACAAACATGCTTACACACACATACACATACATGTGTGCACACCCACACGCCACACGCACATACACACACGCACATGTGCACACACACACACACACACACACACACACATAATCTCATACATAAATATACACACAAACACACAAGCATGCATGCATGCATGCATACACACACAAACATATATATATACACATACACACACGCATACATACATTTTACACCACACAAATACATATATATACACACACACACCATACACAAACATGCATGCACGCATAAACACATATTTACATGTGCACATACACACACACCAACACACACGCGCACGCACGCACGCACACGCACACACACTCACACATTGAAGAGCTTCACCTTGACGAAGTAGAGCGGTCGTGGCGAGCTCTTCTGCTGAGGGCTGAAGTCTTGCAGGCGTCTGTGAATGTCCTGCCAACCCCAGACGGTGGAGCCCATGGGCCCCGGGGCCTCACGCACACACACACTCAACACATTCTGCAGCACACGCACACAGCTCTGAAAATACTGGAACACACACACACATACACACACTGTTGATTCAGATGTTGTGAATACTGCGTCACAATTCTCAAAAATACCACCATTAAACATATCAACTCTTTCTTTGTGTGTGTGTGTGTGTGTGTGTGTGTGTGTGTGCGCATGCAAGCATGCGTGTGAGAAAGTGTATGTGTGTTTAAGCATATGACTGCATGTGTGTGTACAGACCTGCAGTGTGTCTCTGCTGCCGCTGAGGCGTGTGATGGGCCTCATGCTGCTGGTTTTGGGAATAAAGCGGATGCGGGATGTCACTGCACTATTGGGGACCTTCAGCGCCTGGGATGGAGACAGGGGCCTCCACTGGCCCTTACACAGATGAGCCCTGATGCACACACACACACACACACAAACACACACACACGGACAATAATGGGATTTTCTATGCATTTCAGAACTACACTGCAAAAACAAAAACTGTTTTTAGTGTTTGCCTTGTTTCTTCAGCCACAACACTCCTAGCCACACCCTCCTTAGTATTAGTTAGCTATGCGGGAATGATGCACATAGAAAGCCCCGCCCCTTACTCAATATTCAGTTACACATGGAAAAGTAACATCAACATGCTAAAATAAAAATCTTTTATTCCAGACTTCCCAGCAAGAATTTTTGTTTTAAAAAAATGTCTAATAGATGTCTAAAAGATGTCCTATAGATGTCTACTAGATGTCTACTAGAATTCTAAAATATGTCTAATTGATGTCTAATAGATGTCTAAAAGTTGTATAAAAGATGTCTAATAGATGTCTAATAGATGTCTAATTGATGTCTAATAGATGTCTAAAAGATGTCTAAAAGATGTATAAAAGATGTCTAATAGATGTCTAATTGATGTCTAATAGATGTCTGATAGTTGTCTAATAGATGTCTAATGGATGTCTAATGGATGTCTAATGGATGTCTAATAGATGTCTAATAGATGTCTGATAGTTGTCTAATGGATGTCTAATGGATGTCTAATAGACGTCTAATAGATGTCTAAACGATGTGTAATAGATGTCTAATAGATGTCTAATTGATGTCTGATAGTTGTCAACTAGATGTCTAATGGATGTCTAAAAGATGTCTAATAGATGTCTAATGGTTGTCTAATGGGTGTCTAGATGTCTAAAAGATATCTAAAAGATGTATAAAAGATGTCTAATGGATGTCTAATAGATGTCTAAAAGATGTGTAATAGATGTCTAATAGATGTCTAATTGATGTCTGATAGTTGTCAACTAGATGTCTATTGGATGTCTAAAAGATGTCTAATAGATGTCTAATGGTTGTCTAATGGGTGTCTAGATGTCTTAAAGATATCTAAAAGATGTATAAAAGATGTCTAATTGATGTCTAATAGATGTCTAATGAATGTCTAATAGATGTCTACAAGATGTACAAAAGAAGTATAATTGATGTCTGATATATGTCTCATAGATGTCTAATAGATGATTAATAGATGTCTAAAAGATGTTTAATAGATGTCTAAAAGATGTCTAATAGATGTCTAAACATAGTCGTCTTGACTAAAACAAGGCTACATTTGGGCTCACACTATTGTTTTCCTCTTTCTGAAAGTCTTGATAACACCATCCTGGAGTTTTTCTGTCATTATTGCAGCAAATCGTATTGTAACATATTGATTAGTGGTACTCTCCCATTCAGATAAGTTTACAAACTCTGATGATGTCCACTGCTGAGAGACACAGAAATGTGGAAAGTGTGTGTTGGTGAGCTGTGTGTCACCTGAAGGCCTGGTCCTGCAGTCTGCTCCAGACATCTCCCCTGTAGAAGCGCAGTGTGTGTTTGTGGCCCATACTCTCCGTGATGTAGAACTGAGCTCTGACCAGACCGACCACAAAACCACTCAACACCCAGCCCATACACTGACCCAACATCCACTCACGGTAGCGGTGCTCGCTCGCACACTGACCTGCAGAAGCACACACACACACACTCATATATATATATATATATATATATGAACATACACACATTTAAATGCACACACACACACTCACGTTTCTTGGGCCCCAGCCAATGGCAGGCCTGAACCTTCATCCTCCACATCAGCTGGACCAGCGTGAGGCGCTCAAACTTCCCCAGAAGCAGGAAGTTCTTTACATTAGACAGGAAGTGGAGCTGGTTTTCCTGGCAGCCCCAGAGCTCGTGGGGAATAATATGGCGCAGACACTCCCTGACGAACAGATAAACTCTATATGGAGACGAGTGTGACTTCAGCAGAGACTCCATATCCTCCACGTCTGGATTTCCTGCACACTTTCTTTGCAGGAACAGCCGATACGGACACTTCCTGTGCTGCCGCAACAGCCGACTGAATAGCGGCACCATTGCGAAGAATCGTTTAGGAAGTTTTTTCGGTTTGCTATCGTTGGATTCTGATTGGAGGAAAATCATGCGGACAAGATCCTCCCCTTGCATGCGCCTGGCCCCGCCCACTCCTTTCAACTTCCTGTTGAGCAGGAAGTTCTTCATGCCCCGCCCATTGTAGAGCATGCTCAGAACGCGTATTGAACATTGCGAGGGTCGAGGAGGACGCTGATCCGCTGGTTTCCAACTCTGAGATCCGTGATTTTCGTTACGTATTTTCGCTACTTGGTCAATTTCCTCCATCCTTTGTCGCTTTAACGAAATATTTTCTTCGTTATCTCTCGCTCTCTTTTTAGAAATTGTGAAACTCTGAGATCCGTGATTTTCATTACGTATTTTCGCTTCTTGGTCAGTTTCCTCCATCCTCCGTCGCTTTAACGAAATATTTTCTTCATTATCTCTCGCTCTCTTTTTAGAAATTGCAAAACACCGAGATCTGTAATTTCCGTTATTATTATTCACAGTTTCCTTTACCCTCCGCCGCTTTACCGAAATATATTTTTCGTTATCTCTTGTTCTCTTTTTGGAAATTGCGACTGTCTTCTGGACAGCAGGGGATTTCCGCATCGCGCCGCTGATTCGTTCATTATCTGAGTTACTGAGGAAAAAGCCAGACCATGAGCGCGGCATCAGCAAGTCGTAAACAGGTTCTCCGCACACCTGCAGAACACACGATGGCGGGACGGTGGTGAAAACGGCACAGTCCTGCAGCAGGTACCGCGTTACCTCCGTGCCCAGACGCTGGTTGATACGCTTCCAGACCTCGCTGGTGCTGATGGAAGCAGCCGTCTGCGAAACGTCACCATGGAAACGGAAGGGATCCGAACTGGTCGTCACGTCGCTGCATTGATAACCGAAGCCCAGGACGTTCCTCAGTTTCTTACGTTTAATGTGGTTCAGAGTGAACGCCAAGACCTCCGGCAGGGTGCTGAGCTGAAATAACACACATTTCTTTTATTTGTAGAGAAAAACATACATAAATATTTTTAAATCCTGAAAACATAGAAGAACATTGGCCGTAACTCAGTTATGGATGTGCAATGTTTAGTAGGGCAGTAATGATGAAAATTGATTAAAAAATATATATATATAGTAAACTGCTACGGTAAAAAAAAATTCCTGGTTAACACTAAATTAACTATTAAGTTGATTTTATTTGCATAACATTTTTGTTATGTATTTCAAAAAAGCCTTCAACAAAATCATGTCGATTTTTACAATGTCGCAACATAATAAACAATCAAGCAGGTGAGTTTTATAGTAAATAAATTGGCTTCTCTTCGGCTGTTTTGGAATTAAATAATCTTATTTAAGATTCTTTTTAGGTTTCATTTTTAAAAACCATTACTAACCAGCATAATGGAATTCCCGGAATATTGTTGAAGGAAAGCACTGCTGGCAAATAAACATGTTAAACTTATGCTGTATATTTTTGACCAAACAGTGTTCAAACAGATGTGCTGCTCACCACATACAAATACTTAAGTAAAGTGTATTATATTGTATATATTACAATATTTACAATACAGCACAGTATCATCTGATAAACTAATAAATACAGTAGTATACACTTGTACTTTTACTACAGTAAACTTTGGTGTACTGTAGTAAAATAAAACACATGACCACAGTGTTTGTTTACTGTAGAATCACCACAACAGTTTAATTCAAATACTTTACCATAGTAGGGTTAAAACACACAACAGTATTACTTTAAATTACTATAGTGTTTTTTTAATGTGGTTATATTAGTATTTTTCGCACGTTTGATTCATTTACCTTTAACGTGATTAAATCAATCAAATTTCTTTAATATAGACTGTAAAATATTTATTTTCTAAAATAAAACAAGACTAGGAAGTGTAACGTTACACTGTGTTAGAAACACTATCAGCGGCAGTGCTTTGGTTACTTGATCTGGTTCTATAATTATGAAACATGAGGAGAGCTTCAGACATGTGACAGAAACACGCACAGCAGCAGACTCAAAAGTTATTATAATCAATGACAGAGCTCACTTAAATTAAGTGATCGATAAATTGTAAACAAATCAACTGTACCTGGGCGGGGACGCGCAGCTGCGGCGGCGTGTAGGCGCATACAATAAGTCCACTGAGGAGCTTTTTAAAGCGCGCGCCGTCTGTTTCCTCCAGCAGAACCGGCTTTCGGCCGTCAGGGAATTGCAGTCCGTCGGTGAACTCCTCCAAAGTCTGCACGACTGGATATAAGGAGCGCAGAATCTCCAAAACCGGCCTGAATCCGCCATCTGTCGAGTACTGTCCAGACATCTGTGCGCGTGCTTGGGGAGTTCTATTTCCCGCTTCGAGTCCCAACAGTCCCAACCAATCAACACGACTCCCAGATAACGACACGCGGGAAAACCACAAATTTAAAGCTACACCGCGGAAATAATGTTTAAATAATGAACAACAAGTACATACAAACTATATTCCAACTCCTAAGCCTATAGTAATACTACTGATAATTTTAGTTTTGTCCTCCAATCGCTCATGTGTAGCACTAGTTTCTTCCACATCATCTCCAAAGCCTGTTGAGTTTTGATGTGATTTTTGACTGTTGTAGCTGTGAAATAACTATAGAAAAATCACTCAGCGGAGTGATATGGAGCTGTAATGCACTTAAAACCTGCCAGAACTACTTTACCAGTGCGTTAATCTGACAATAATGGCACGCCTTATAAACAGAAGCCAATTGCAGTCAAGTATTTAACAGCCCTCATGTAGTATACAAATAAATATGTATACATCTATTTATGTATGTGTGTACATATACTTTTATGTATACTACAGCGCTGTTAAGTGCTCAAAAATATATACACACACACACACACACACACGCACACACACACACACACACACACCTAAACAAATTTTAAAAAGCAGATGCTCAAACTAAAGAGCAACAAAACCTGTTTATGACCTGTTTTCTTTTACTGTTAAGCACTTTGTGACTTCTTGTCTGTGAAAGTTGCCATGTAAATACATTTTAGTGAAGAATAACAGTGCAAAATAAACATTTTAAATATTGATTTAACACAGAAACATACGGTCATAGTCCATAAAGATTTATTGTACAAAAATGGAGGCCGCTTTTAGTGTCAGATCATGAGGAGGTCAGCAGGAGGAGGTCTGAGGGGGATCTGTCCTAGCGTGAAGCGTTTAGCCATGAACTCCTTCAGTTCTTCAGGAGTTAGCTCGCTGTTAGCTGTGAAGAGACCGTGTCCAGATTGAGTATCTGCAGCTCCGCCAGTTGAACCGAAGCTGCTGCTCTGGGCCGGTGCGGCCGAACCGAAGGCAGAGCCGAAACCAGAGCTGGAGCCAAAGCCGGAGCTGGAGCCGAAGCCAGAGCTGGAGCCAAAGCCGGAGCCAAAGCCAGAGCCCTGTCCTGCTGTAGCCGTCTTGAAGCTGAAGCCAGATGCGGAGCCGAAGCCCCCAGCGCTCGGTTTGCTTTCTGAATCTGCAGCTGCGAAAGAAAATGAGGCTGCAGACGGGGCAGGATTGCCGAAACCTGATGAGGGCTGAGCGAACGCTGAGCTGCCGAAACCAGAGGCCTGCTGGGTATTCGAGGCGCCAAAGTCTGTTTTTGACTGGGCAAAGCTGAAAGTGCTACTGCTCTGCGGCCCGGATCCAAACCCTAAGAAAAACAACATTATTCAATAAGTCGTTCAAATCATGCTAACGTTAATACACAGGTTTCCCTTCTATATTTAAAAGTACATTCAGTTACATGTATAATTACACAAATCATGCAATAAACACTTAAAGGTGTCACAGAATGCACTGATACTGTATGTTACATTATTCAATATCTAAATAGATGGTAAGTGACTTGGGTAACTGCAAAACATTTCCATAAATGATTTTACAGATCTATTTCTAACCATAGCAATTGGTGGTATTGACCATATTTGGAAGGGTCATGAATATTAATGAGCTCTGCACTGATGCTCCCACAGCTCATATCTGTTTCTCTCTCTCTCGCACACCATGACGTACACAAGCGAAATAATCAAACTTCAAATCTTCATACTCAATCATACTACAGTCAAAAGCATTTCTAATGTTGAGTAGACGCCTTGTTAATGGTGCCATATAACGAAAGCCTGTATATACCTAGGCATAGCTGAATAGTAAGAGCTCAATACATGGAAATTACATGTTATGAGCCTCAAACACCATTGTTTCCTTGTTGTACACCCTGTGAGAGTAAAGCCTCAGTGAAAAACAAGCCAATCAGAACAAGGCATAGATCGCTACATTACACATGGGATAATTAATATGCATGGCCCAGGCTATGTTTAATTGGTTCCTACTGAGATAAAAAAAAAAGATAATCCCCCCCCCCTAATTTTACTATTGCTTGTGGGAGGTTATTTTGAAAGAGGCAGCAAGAGCATACAAGTTTTCTGAGAAACAGGCAGCCATGCACCTATTTACAGCTTGTCCGGATGCAAAATGCAGGATATACAGATTATACATGTATTCAGCGTCACTCTAAAGAGGCGTACACCCAGCTCGTGATTTCTCTGGAATGAAAGGAAGGACCCTATTATACTTTATATCACTCATTCACTCATCTGTTTACGCAGAGGTTGATATTAATAAGGCAGTGACATGAGCTGCAGAGCTCATTAATATTCATGAACATTCCAAATATGGTCTTAACCTTTTAATTTAAGGGGTCATTTCTGTTTATAAATTAGCAAAAAAAAAACTTTCTGGGGAATTTCTACACTTCCCTAAGCCACATGCACACTATGTAGGTATCAGGGAACAATTTAACTTATTGAATAACTGCACACACTAATGCATCTGTGAATAGAGACAGACCTGCTCCTCCAAAGCCTGCTGGCGGTGATGATAGTGATGTGTTTCCAAAGCCTGATGTCGCTGAGCCAAACCCGGGACCCGGAGAGCCAAAGCCCGGCGCAGATGCTGGAGGACTGGAACTTTTGAGCTCTGCAATCTGAGGACATCAATATAGTGATTAAAATGTGTGCATTTGAGTGTTAGATGAAGACTGTCTTCTCATCATCATCAGCAGCAGGGTTGCCAAGTGTGCAGTTTTCCCCAACAGTGTTTCTGTAGATCTCACCGACTCAAATTTAAGACCTTTAACAAACTTTTTAAACCATCATGAACAAAATTTCAGATTCATACAAGACTAAAGACTTTTTCTAATGGCGCGGTTGTAGAGATTTTTTACTTACCCCTTCAAAAATGCAAATTGAGTTATTTCTAAGCCATTTTTTTGTAAATCACTTAGTAAATCAAAGATTTTTTCAGACAAGTTGTAAAACAATAATAAACTAAACATCTATACTATAATTAACACAGCAGTCTGTGAACACCACTTTTAACAAATGTTATTGTTCATTCGTTCATTTTCGCCTTAGTCCCTTAATTAATCTGGGGTCGCCACAGCGGAATGAACCGCCCAAATGTTATTGTAAGGAAGATAATTAAATCGTATTGTTAATAAATAAAATAAATAAAAGTTCATAAATAAAGATTTAGTTGGTGATTGGATGGGTCTTAAAGACATTTTTAAAAAGAAGCCATGTATAATGCATACAGCGGTATAGTATATATATATATATATATATATATATATATATATATATATATATATATATATATATATATATATATATATATATATATATATATCCTTTGATGTTTGATATATTAGGGTTAGTTTTGTTGTGAAAACCTGGCAACCCTAATATCTCACCACACTGATCTGTGTAGAGCTGCTCATGTTCCTCAGCTCCTGAACTCTACTCCTCCACTGATTGGCCAGCTGCTGGACTGAGTTTATCTGAAACACACAGACAAACACAATCTCCTCAGGTGATATGCCATCAGTTAATGACCAAAACACTTTGTTTACATAGTCATTGCAGATTAAATATAATACAGAAAACATGAATAAATATTTCATATTAAGTCAGATATTATTCCAAAATTAAGTCAGACATCTTTCCTGAAACCTCATCACTAGACTAAATTTTCATGCGCCTCATCACTAAACTTTTATATTTTAATTTTGTAATTATTTTTTTATTATTATTATTTTTAAAATAATTATTTTTTTTTTCTTATACTTGTTTCTTGTATTCCCGTTTATGTAAAGCACTTTGAATTGCCACTTTGTGTATGAAATGTGCGATATAAATAAACTTGCCTTGACTTGCCTAAACCATAGCTGCGTCTCACATCGCACACTTATGCACTATTCTACGCCATTTTGTAGTATAAATAGTGTAAGTAGTGTGTTCACACTGAAAACTCTAAAAAATAATAAGTGCACTTTAATTACCCGGATGATGCACTTGTTCAGCCGGTATGATGAAGTGTGTAATGATGGACACTTCACGCACTCAACGACCGCAGGTTTGCTTACGTAGTGAAAGGGGCGGAGCTATCGGACGCACATGTTGAATACCTTTATTTATTTTGGATGGTGAAAGCAAAATTCTCCTACGAGAGTGATTATAGCGCCTCCCGATGGTGAATGCGGCAATTTTAACGGCAGGTATTATT